TCCCATTTTCATAGATTTTTCTTTATTCCGTAGACCGTTTACTTCAATATTAAACTGATTTGTAACCGAAGGCCCTTGCATTAGTGTATGATTCGTATTGTTTTTGAAAACCGAACTGAAATACTTATTAAACGCATTAGATTTTGCCCGATCGTTAGAAATGAGCGTGTTTCCAATTTTACTAACTGACATATCCTCTTTATTTTCCTTCTTTCTACGAACATAGTTTAAAACCCTTGGCCAATTGTTTCCGTTCCCATCTAGTAATGTTTCTCGTTATCCTCTGCATTCGCCTAATTTTTGCATTGTAATATTCTGGATCCGGATTATTTTGTAGAATACCATACCTCCCTCTGTTCCCAGAAAGCGGTTGTGTTGTTCCCTAAAAAAACATGAAGTCCTTGTACATTTCTTTCTTGTTTTGTCGCACTTCTGTTCCTATCGTAATGCCTTTTCTTGAAATATTTTCGTCTAAGTCAAGAAGAACATCTTTATGATCGCTAATGCCCTCAGAATAGCTCTTTCGGCCTAATTACGTACACATCCAAAAACGAATCCTGCCGCGTCCCGCTCCGAACTATCAGAGTTAACCCGCTGTCCCAAAATTGACTGTTGACAAGTGTTTGGACTTTCCCTTTGCTCATGGCTCCCTCCAAGTTTGCGCTAGGAATATTTAAGTCGTGGTGCTCCACGCCAAAATCAATCATCCTGACTGCTGCTGGAGATGGTCGCATGTGTAGGGGTGATTTCCCCCCTTTTTTGTCATAGGAGATCAAGATCTACGGGGCTTAAGTGAGGGCTCGTTGGACTCAGAGACTCGTTGTGAGTCTCGGAGGTAGAAGGAAATGGACGGAACGGTAAATGACGAATTTGTGTTTGGAGGCGATATGTGACTGGTATCGATTTCCAAAAGGAGCTCAGGAAAAGTCGGTGGTGGCGGAGTTTTTTAGTAGGTATTACCACTTTTCAACCTTGAATGGAAGATGTAGCTTCAGAGAAATCGATCGGCTACACCCCACAACTGGACTGCGCTACGAAAGCGGAAGCACGTTGTGTTTGACGTGTTGCTATCCACAAGGCATTACTCTCTAGGGCACTGGAGAAGTGTCGTGACAGGTCTACTGGATTTCTAGCCTGGTGCCGGCATTTAGCCTCAGGGAAGGAAACTTTTCCTGTGACTCTGATCGTCTGAATTTCTTTCCCGTAGTAAGGTAGGGCACTGGTTGACGTTGGATGGATGGTCACTTCCACAATTGACACAGTACGGGGATGTAGCGCAGGGTTGTGCGTCGTACACTGATGCACCACACTTCCAACACATTGGGCTCTCTGACATACATCGTTGCTGGGTATGTCCAAACCTTTGACACTTGAAACAGAGAAAAGGATTTGGTACATACTTTCGCCCGATACCACAACTGATCCTTTCCTGGAGGGACGGACGGTTAAACGAAAGAGAGTCGGAACCGGGGTCAATCCGTAAGAATCAGTGATGAATTTCCCCTGTCCCTTCCTTTTGTTCCTATACAATTCAGTCACGCCTTGTCTCTTGGAAATGTACGAATGTCTTCCCCATTCTCTGAAGTACAGTCTTTGTGGCTTATCATGCCTTTGCATGTGGATGCGTTTTCACCACCTGGAGGCCGACAATCTGAGTAATTTATATATTTCCTCATCGGTAGGTACTTCAAAAAGAATCATTCCATTCCTGTGTCGCACGACCTCCTGGAGCTTCCTGAATGGTCCCTCTGTGGCTCGCGCCAGACGGACCACACTTGCATGTTTAAACGTTTTCCTAGAGAAAAAAGGTGGGGACCGTGGTTCGTCTCCGTGCTCCCTACCCACCATAGAGTCCATCGGGGAAAAATCCCAGTGGAGTACCAGGGCTGACATGGAGATATAGTAGTGGGGTGATGACACAGCGCTGCTCCTACGAGGATCCCCCCGCTCACCCAAGAGTTGTGACTTAGTCCGAGCCGATTGTTCGGGAGTTGGTTAGCTCCAGACCGCCCGTCTAGAAGAGCCCCAGGCCAAAGTACGTGCATTGAAGCCTTCGAGGAATGTTCCCCAAAATACGTAAACACCATATCCCTAAGTGCAAAGCAGAAAGTAGCACAGTAGTGGTTGGAAAACAACAGACCTTTCAACCGCCAGGACTCACATTCCCTCCGTCACGGGTCGCGAAGTCGCGGGGAAGAAAAGAGACAGGATGGTATAAAATAACGAAAATGAACATTGAGGAAAAGAAAAATGATTGGTGAAAGAAATACACGAGAGTCCTCTCTGCATCCCCCACCCCCCGTCAGGACATGGAGCGACTCACCTCGACGGGTTAGTCCAAACTGGTACGAAAGAAGTGAATATCAAGGTTTATAGGGACTTTTTTAATTTGTAAATTGGAAACATTGCAAACGTCTAAACATGCTTTAACTGTAAGTTTTAACGGTTAAGGCGTTAGCGTTTCTTTCGTTGTTTCTTATTTGTAAGGAATTAATTTGAAGTGGAAAATTGAAAAATTATGCCGTCGTGCGTGTGTTCATTCTCCTGAGAAGATTTGGAAGTTATTTCTCTGTAAAAAGGAGAAATATGCATGTAACACTAAAATATGCCCGAGAACGAATGAAATATGCTCTAACAATTAACCGTTTTATATATTCATAAACAATTACAAAATCTGTTCAGTTAACATAGTACAAGCAGTTTTAGAGCAGATAAAATCATTTCTTCTTCTTTCCATTTCCCTTCATTTGTAAGAAAAAAAGGAAAATGAAAACAAAATGACAAATACATTTAAAAAATAAGCGACAAAATTCGTAAAATTTTTATTCAGAATCAAAAGAAGCTATAAATGACATCCGCAAGTTTTCCACGGTGAAACTCCACCTGTTGTCTGCCAGCAGTCTTGCAGCGAGAAAAAGATCTCTCCACGTCGCAAGATATGATCGGGTAATACGTGAAATGTTACATCTTCGGGTGTCAAATCTTCTCTGTGTCACTCAGTTTTGCATTTTTCTCTCCATTATTTCCTTGCATATTGTTTTGTAGCATACTGGTTTTGCTGTTGACCCCCAATCTCTATTCAAGGTATTTTCTATCTCTTCCAGTAATAAGGAAGTCAAATAATTGCACATCTATCTTCTGTATTTGAGTAATTTTCTTCGTTAACATTCCAAAATTGAAAGAAATGTATATTTTGCATTGAGCCTTGTACGTCTACTTTTAACTGGCTGGAAGAGGGATTTGAACAACTTTTCTGAAAATTTGGCATCTGGATGGTGATTTAAGAAAATCCTTCTTCATATTTGAAATAAATCTGTCAACTTCAGAATAATTAGCGCGATATTCCTCACAAACTCAATGAATAGCATGTGGGAGGCTCGAATCAGTGTTTTCATCCACAGAAATCCACATATTTTTGTTCTTAAATGCATTTGCAATTTTTATAACCATTTAATCCTACAAGTTGCTGATGTAAGTTTTCCGAAGTGTCGATTCATCTGAGAATTTGTCACAATATTTTTCTAAAATGTTTCTAAGGGACATTGTTCAGTTGTCAGAGTAATATTGGGCTGCAACAAAAAGCTTCGCCGTAAATCTTTAGAAATGGCAGTTTAACTTTTAGAATTTGCACTCACAGCAAATGAGAGCATGAGTTGAATTTTGTTCTTATTTTCCTAGTCACATACTTTTTGTGCTTTTGCCGTTTATAATTTTTTGTTGCACGGACAGTCGGAATCTTCTTCACTTTTGTAATGCGAACCTTAAAAAAGAGTTCGGGCGACACGAAGGAAATTGCTTATTTATCGCTTGTCGTGTTCCGATAGTGGAATACGCGAACATTTGTTGGATTCCGCAAATCCGCACATTGAGTTACGCATACCACCGCCCCCGATTGCTCCTCGTACCCCTCACGCCGTCCAACCATTAGGCACACAACTCCAAGCGAGCCGAAGGGCCGGCCTGTAAAATCTGACATAAGGTGACAGTGGTCCAAATCCACACCTCCGCACTTGCAAACAAAGTCCTGAAGCCACCCTACCATCGGGACGGCCCCCCAAAGCCGCAAAGTCACTAGATTGGCATCAAACCGTGTCACTCGCACTAGCACGCGCATTGCAATGTTGCAGTTTTTGCTGAACTCTGCTTCCATCTTCCGTAATTCATATTTTTGTATTCTTAAGCATTAAAATACGGACTTGTTACATGTTGTATGAATTGAGATACGATTGTTCGTTATTTCAACTTAATTCAAAGGGGTGTCAGACCACAAGATATTAATGGGAGCTAAACACACTGCAACAGTTATGTGAATATTTGGAATATGTTTTATACCTTCAAATACGAAGATCCCTTCCCTTACCCGAGCGCAGGCTAGCAAGGGGTGCGTTGCATGACCTGTGTGGCGAATTGTAACATTCAAAATATCCGTTAGTCACTAGTCGCAGAAAAATCAAAATTACTAAAGAAAATGACTGAGCGTCTAACATATGACAGCATGTATATCATTGCACTCGTCTTTTTACGCTCGTCATAATAAACTGAAAAGATATCCATAGTTCCATTTTTAAAAAAACAAAGTCACCTCAAATAGCTCATAAAATACAAATGACATAATAGAAATGAATATACAAATCAATTAGCTCCATTTCCTCATGCACTTCTGTGAAAACTGCATTGCAATAACTTCAACCATTCAAAAAGTTATGAGGTGAGTAAGTTACGTGACTCACTCAAAGTAAAGAGGCGTGAATTATAATATTCCATGTAAGAATTATAACCACATTAATTCATAAATTTTACTTTGAAGACAGGAATGAAATGGAAAAACGAAAGGAACTGGATTTGAATAGAAGGGAAAACAAGAAAAGCAAAGCATACAGAGAAGACAAGAAAATTCAGAAAAAGAAGGGAAAGAAAAGAAATATTGAGATAACTATTTCCTTCCTATTTGTGTTCATGAGAAAGGTGAAGGATGGTCACACTAATTTCAAAAAATAGAATTTCATATGTTATTTGTGTTGTTTATTTATGGTGCACATTATAAATATGCAGTAGTTTGAAATTATATCTCAAACCTTAATTGCTACAAATTGTATAAATTCCTCTGTTATTCAGCCTACTCATTTGCAGATGGTATAATAATAGAATTGTGAAAAACAATATGAAAATGAATAAGACTGTGCCTCATTGTTTTGTTAATATTAACAATATGTACAATATAAAATTTCTAACACAATAATTTTTGAAGAAAGGAGGTATATGGAGTTAATAAATTATATGGAGACAATGGGAGAAGGCAGGCCATTAATCTACAATAAAATGGTAAATAGTTACATGTTGGTGGCCAATCAGATTAGCACCTGGTCCCAGTACCTTCATATGGCAGATATAAGCTAATGAAATGCTGTAGTATTAAGACTCCATCCCTTCCAAACATGTTTCCAACTAAAATTAATTTTCCTGGAATTAAAATATATACGTACTTCAAAACAAAAGTCTTAAGAGTATAAAAATAATTGGTAGTCATACCTACATAATAATAGCTATGCAAAACAACACAACAAATTCATGAAAAATAATTTATTAATGCTTTGCCCTATGAGTTAGAAATCGCAAAAAGGGCAAACTTTATGGGAAAAAAAAAAAAAAGTTACAAGGTACAATTGTGGTGTGCATGGCAAAGTAAAATTAAAAATGTACAGGAAGTACCTATTAGTAAAAAAATGCTGGTTCAGAAAAAAACAAACAAAAATTACATTCAAATAACAACGGAAGTAACAAGGGGAAATCAGTGTAAATTAACAAACAAAATTAAACAATTAACAATCAACCATCATTTAGCTAACATATATCACAATAAGACTGGATGCTAAGAACATCCAACAGATAAAGACAAAAAAAATGATGGCAGTTCTTCATAAATCGGACTTGCCTACAAAATTTAATTAAGATAAAAATAAATAAATATATACTATATGTATATTACAAAACATTTCCAAGAAAATTTTTTTTTTCTAAACATAAGTCCTTTCTTTCAACGAAAGTCTTTTGTTTACCACAATATATCAACTTTTCATTCCATAATGTCATATAGTAGATCACCATACTTTCTAAAAAAATGCTGAAATAATGTTCATTGTTAACAGTGCATTCATTAAAATATTTTAGAATGCAACTTTATTTCGAGCATTATTAAAAGGTAACTCAAATCCAACCTATAAAGTTCTTGGTTATCTCAAAACATACCATCGTGTATACCAATAGGTACCAACACAACCAGAAAGAGAAGAGCATTTCTGAGTACTAATCGCCAGTCTGATGGGACGGCATACGGCATTACAGCAAATGTCAACTCATGAACTTCATGAGCAGCACAAATAAAAATAAAGGAAGTAACCATTACATTGAAAACAGGATACCCAGGCACCAGCACAAGAACACCATGTGTATCAGCTGCAAGCCAAATATGATACTGGCTTATGAAAAGTTCAAGAGAAATACGTCCAAACCATCCAAAGAAACTGGAATAGCGTGTGCGAAGAACACCCGAAATGTTGCGAAGAACAACATAGCTGATTATCTATAAAAGGAGAAAAAAGTGTGTAAGGAAAGGGCTAGGATTCCTAAGGTCAAAACAATTTACTTCACAGCTTTTATCATTTAAAGATAAATAGGAATATCCACAATGTACTTACTGGAACAAATACTGTATATGAATGGATCTCATTGCACTCTAATTTATTTCTGCAAAGAAACGAGAAAGTAGTATAGCTGCCAAGCCCTATAAATGACACTAATGTAGCAGATAATGCAATTCCCGGGGAGAAGAGATTGCTGTGGTTGTTATCATCCAAAAGACTGTAATGCTGAGCCAACAAGAAGGCAAGAGCAAATACCATTCCATATGATATGCTGGAACAGTTCAACAATGCAAAACACATTCTTACAAACTTTGAGAAAAATTGTAGTTAAAATGTATTGTCATGAAGCTCAGAAAGTACTCACAATCAATAAATAAGTAAAATCATTTTAAAAATAAAACAAAACAAAATTATATGAACTACTGATTAATTAATTTATGTGAACTTCTAATATGCTGCTTTAACATGCTGATTTTTTACATTTTAAAACTTGAAAACAGAAAAATTATGACATTTTAGAGCATTAATTTTATCATAATTTTCAGAAGCAACTGACTGACTTAGAAAATTCTAAATATTTATTACATATCATCCAGAGGTACCTGTATCTATCCAATTTCCATCTAAACCACCATTCATGTATATCATCATCAGTAGTCACAAATAGTGCTTTCCAAGGGCGGGTCACAAAAACTTTTTCAAAAAATACCTAAAAAGAAGAAAAAAATTAGATGCTCTCGCTCCATAGTTATCAAAAATAGATAATTACATCAAATCATATTTAGAGCCCAATTTCACTTACTTCAGACATATACAGGATAGTGATCACACTAAAGAGACCCACAAACTTAAGCACAAGGTAGAGATACTGGAGTGGATTACTCTCTGAAGAAGCAGCAGTGACTTGAGGTGGTAACACAAGTACCAAATACACCATAAGATACCAAAATGATACCAGAGGCACAAAGTAATAAAACTGATATGGCCGATTCATACACAAACATAACGTCACGGTCATGAAGTTCAATCTGAAGAGGACCTGTACAAGTTAAATTTCATAAAAAATCACAGAACGTCAAAACATCTTGAAATTATCATTTAAAAATATTTTCTCCATTTTCCACTCCTAATATTTGGGATCACAACCAAAAATAAATAAGCTTGAAATATCTTAATAATGAAATGTACAAAAGTTTAGCTTATCAATTAACTCAGTAGTTTCCAACCTCTTTTAAACAAGTTTCAAACTTGAGTCAGATTTGGATAATTCAATTTATTAGCAATGAATCCATTATGTGAGAGATATAAATTTGGCACTGATATTGTGCTCAGCATACATTTATAAAAATTAAAAGATAATTTGAATCTTCCCAAGCCATTTCGAACTCATCATCAAAATGAAATAAGTCAATCAAAACCTCTTTGACAAGTTTACAATGAGTTACAAACTTGTTTACCTTCCCTGTATATCAATAAAGCATATGAAATTAAAATTTGCTACAGCACATATGAGAGTCTTCACAGGTTGGTAACCATTTACATACAACATAAAATATTAAGGATGTATAATTATCTCAAAATATTGAAACAGTTTTTATTTTATACTCCATTCTAGGGTATAAGTGTACCAGATTTTGAAAACATTCTTCTCCTGTTCTCAAGGTTCAAATTTCCCGTAAAAACTATTACCATAAAAAATGTTATGCCTCGTTATACATCTTTACTAAAAAAAATTTCTTTGCATCTAGACCCTTTGTAGGTCTACTAAAAAACTACGTTACTAAAAAAACAGCACCTGAACAATTGCTATATTTTTAATCAATCTGTAGGTTTTTTGTAACTACATTCTGAATGTAATCATTTTGTGCTTCATTCCCATTGTGCACAAAATAAATTGATAGTATACTTATTTCTACTAATTATTCAGCATAAGTCCCTCCCCCTGCATGCATAAAAGTAATAAATTGTTTGTGTCCTAAAGGCACGCAGTAAAACCTGGTAATTAACAAAACACAGAAGGATAGAATAATGAAAAAATGTCAATGTTGACAGAACACTTTCTAGAACCTTCAAGTAAAATGATGTTTGAAATTACGTATCTTACTAATAAAATTTGTGTAAATTTTAGCAATATTCATAATTTATGTATTAACTATTATTATTACATCACACCCTGTTTTTAACTGGTTTTTGATGGTAAATAAATAAATTACAGTAAATCAAAACTGGTTCATGCATTTACTTTCACTTGTTAATTAAAACTATTTTATTATTGCAAATTATATACATTTTTTCAAAAATGTTTTGAAGAGCAACAAAATCAGCATGTCAAACTTCTACGAAACAAATTTCATCAAAGGAACAATTAGCATTCCATACTAATTTCCACATTACACCTTGGTATGTAATATTAAGAATGTATAGTAATATTTTAGAAATTGAATCTACAGAATTTGTTGTAGATCAAATGTTATTTAGAAAATACAGTAGAACTCCAGTAATCCAAACTAATTAGGAGTGTGTCTATTCAGTTTTGAAAATGTTCAGATTATCCGAAAAAATATACCATACATATACAAATACATCTATAGGATTACTAGACAAGTTAATGTAGTGTGCAATGTGAGAAATGACAACATCACACAGTGTGGCAATCACATCATCAAGCAGATTCAGTTCTTTACATTAAAGGAAGATTCTTGATTTTGCGAGTTCCTCTCCAAGAAAACTGCTACATAAACGTGTGATATACACTATAGTTACCAGTGCAATAAACATTTGATTTTGACAACTTGTGTTTCAATAATTAGTTGTTCAGTTCTACAGTAATTATAAATTCCTTTCTTTACACTACAAATAAGCATTTCCTTTATTTTGTTTATTTTTCTCCAGCCTGAATTTTGGTTGGATTATCCTGAATTTTGGCTGAATTTTATTCATAATTTCGGATTTGCAGGGTTTGAATTAGCAAGGCAAGCATTTCTACTGTATCCATCTTTCCACGCATGCTGAAACATATCTAGTATTTGACACAATTATAGTTTAAATAAAAAATTTGAAAAACCATGCATGTATACATTTTTGACCAAATGGTTTTATTGCAAACATTGTTACTTATACTGAATATCATATTGAGAGAAAAACGTCACATGTCTTTACATTATAACTGAAGGATATATGAGATTTTTTCTTAATATGAGATATAATATAAAAAACTATTTTTGTGTGGCCTACAATATTTGAATAACATACAATAATTATTAAAGGTTAAGCAGAAGGAGAAGTTCAGGTAAATGAATTCCAATGAAATAGAGAAACCTCAAGTGTCCTGGTCATGAGGTAGCCTGGTGTTGACTACCAGATTTCGAGCTTGCAGCTCTATGTAAAAATTAGAAGGCAAATATTTTTATCAGAGAATTCTGTGTTGAAATACACTGTTATAATTTAATAGTAGTTAAATAAACAGTCGTTACAATGTTAACAACAAATTTTATTTGAAATATTCCATTGAAAATTGTGATGAAAAGTTGGGTCACCCCCAAAAAAAGGAAAGTGTACATTAAAAAAGACAACAACATGTAACATTTAGGAATTTCAGTGGATCAAAAAGGATTCAGAAGAATTTTAAAAATTGATTTCCTGCTAGCGCTCTGGTGAATTTAAAACCTTTTAATGTGCAGAGATAGAAGATAAGAAAAATGTTTGAAATGCATTTATGATATGTAATAAAGAACTGATAGGATATAGATTAACTAGTGGTGTGACAGAATGGCACAGATTTTCTCTTACTGGTTTGTTTCCATATCTCTCTGGTAGGCTATCTTTTCAGTTATTCCTCACCATCTTCTCAGATACCATCTATTGTGCCTAAAAGACATTGTTTCACTTTCCCTCAATTTTTTGGATCCCTGATAGAACGGAAATATGAATTTAAGGATATTATAAAAAGGTAAAACCTGAACCTATATGTACATTTTCATTGAAAATTTAGGAGCTTTTAAAAGAAAACATCGCTTGAACCTATCTGGACATGTGCAATTCGATACACATTTTTACCTACAGTTTTCAAGAAACTCCATAAGAAATTATTTGAAACAATTGTTCTCGCAAACAAGATAACGTATAAGAAAAGCCTGAAATGCAAATATAAACAATACAAGATATATTTTTTAAAAAAATTGAAGAAAAATTTGGAGCCATTGTTCAGAAAACAACGTTTGAATCTATCGGATTTTGAGCTAATTTAAACAGAAAATATTTAGTTGTCAAGAAACTTCACAAGAAATCATTTAAAGCCTTTGTGCTACCAAATGCAATAAAACACAAAATACAGAACAAAACAAATATATAAGTCAAAATCACATTTGTGTCAGTTTAGTTCCGTCAGTCAGTTTAGTTCGTCATTCAGTGCATTTAGCACTATCTGTAGAAAAAATTAGGATCTGATTTGAGAAAATCTTGCTTTTAATATTATCCAACTTCAATGAAAATTGCAGAAAATCTACTTTTTTTCTGTACACATGTATTAAAGAACTGATTGTATGAAACTGAACATGTATGAAAGAACTAATTTCATTTGAAGAAAATATTTCCATCTTTAATTTTGCAGCTGTAGAAAGATACCACAAAAATTTCAAACTCTAGCAATTTTCAAAACTTTAGGGGCAACTGTGAAAATCAGGCCTATACCATCTTTGCAACTGTGGACTCTTTTCGTACAAGAATTTTAAAGAAAAAAATTTGGAGCCATTTTTGAGAAATATCTGAAAATGCCCTAGAGGCTTCATGTATAGAACCTCTAAAATTCAAAGGATTTCGTTACAAACCAGTTTGAAAGTTTGGGAAACATTCACTTTGGCAAAACTTCAACGAATAGTTTCAGTGCTAGTGTTGTACACATTTTTTAGTCTCCGGGAACCGTAAAACTGTAAGAATTTCTGTTAAAATTTCAAAATCAATTTTCTGCAGCATTACATAACATAAATTAAAAGGACTATATTGTTTCATATTTAGCTCTGAAACTTTATAAAAGCAAAAACATTAAATAATAGTAATTTCATTTCCATTGAGAAGTTATTTTCTATGTATTACTTTCAAGGTAATTCAAATACTTCAACAAGGTTTTTCAGTCTTCGTACATTTCAGGAAACACCCTACATGTCCATGGATTTCAAAATAATTTATTTTTAAATTTAAGTCTCATATTTCACTAATAACTCACCTATGTTGATATAAAATGTAAATACAGAAACTTACCTGAAAAAAGCGTACTAAACTTGCATCACCTCTCTGCCAGAAATAACAGAAATGTCCATAGCCTGACAAGAAGAGATATGCAGACACCAACACTCTGATATGCATGTATATGGGTAAAATACCACTTGCTCCAGTCATGTGGTATATAAGAATCACAAGCTGCATCCAACCTTCAATACATTATGAAGCATAAACTATATCAATAAGAAAACAAACATAATTAATTACAATATTGAAGATTTAAAAACTGTACCTTTCCATTCATCTGTCTGATCCCTATGCAATACTTTTGTGAAACGACTATCTTCTGTGAAAAACAAACCTAAAGCAAATACATATCCAAATGGAAGCCAAAAGCTGAGCCGAGAAAAGTATTTATTTTCTTTCATAAAAAAGTTGGTTCTGAAAAAAGAATGTAATAAAAAAGATAAATGCTTTTAAGTTTCAAGCAAGAATTCAAATCCATGCATTACCTTAAATGGTTTATACAATTTTTTATCTTTTAACAATAAAATAACATTATTCAATGATAGTGGGTTTTAAACAATTTACTGAAATGAATTTACATAAACACTTTTTTTTAAATTATTTATGAGTCAAACACATACAATTTTTTTTTTCTTCCTTCAGAGTTCTTACGTACTAAGAAAACTATCTACCCTGTTTACTGATATGGGGAGATCAAAACATTTTATTAGACAAAGGTTCACAAGTTTAAATTACATTCATAGTTGGTTTATGATTTGGCAAATACAATACATAGGAAATTGAGTTCGCAAACTACACCAACTGTCGTCAACAAATGGATGGCCTAGATCATTTTATGTCACAAGCGTTTATTTTGCTAAACTTTTCTCTTAAATTTCAAACACAGTGTAATATGACTTTTCAGATATACTTATTCTACATTCTCGTACCCCTTAAGGATAAGGTCTCAATTTTCTTCTAATCCTATTATGATAGGAATTTTAATTTAGCAATTAAGGAGAGATAAATATTTTATATTGAAAATACACTTCACAAATCCACTGTTTATATTTTGTATTATAACTATAAACTGTAAGTAACTGTATGAAGTCCTCCTCAATAGAACAAGACTTTAAATTTTGAAATCTACCAAGCGGCATGAAGGTAGTTTTCAGATGAGTTTTATCTATGATTGTGTAGGTTTTTTGTGGCTAGAGTTTGTATTGTCTACGCTATCTGAGATGAGATGCGTCTTTGTTGTGGTGGCTGACACTTTGGACATGGGGCCTTCTTTACAGCGAATTGTTGGCTACCCGGATCAAGTCGCGTTTCTGTCTGGGTGGCTGATGCAGTACATTCTGAGGAAGGCCGAAACGCCAGCCACCACAACAAAGACGCAGCTCATCTAAGATAGCCTGGACAATACAAATTTTATCTAGTTCAGCTTTTACCCAACAACAACAGAATTTTTTGTCTATAATGAATAAAAAAATTACTACTGAGAATATTTCAGAGGAATTGGTTTTTCACAGGATTACATATGTGAAAAGAAATATTACACAGGATATATATGAGAAAGTAAACAGCAAGAAAGTCTTCTCCCCCCTACGTCACATACAGTTTTTATTGTTTTTTGACTGAATAAATCTAAATCTAAAGTTTCAATAAAGTATCTAAATATTATGTTAATGCTTGCAAATAATCACACAAACCACTCATAAAGCATTTCATTGTTTTAATGAGATTGTTAGCAAAGAGTGCAAGGGGCTGTTCCTTTTTTACTCGTGAAAACTGTTTCAGTAATGGTTGTTCAGTAATGAAATAAGGATTGTAACAGACAAAATTCCATATTTCACCAGAGAATACAATCACAAACAATAACAGTGATTTCCAACTGGCTGCAAAAGCTGACGAGATCACATTACTTTCCTCAGAGAAGGGTTTCAGAGCAGAAGTGTAAGGTAATGGTGACAATTCGAGAGTTGTGAAACAAGAAGCAATGTGATATTAAGAACTAATACAAACTCATATTAACTACTATCAACATCCAAATGTCACCTTTCACAGGATGAATAGTAAAATTCAAACAAAAATTATAAATCATTGGAATTTTTACAAACTGAATACATTTTTAAAATTGAGATAAACTTTGTCTAACTGGCTTATTTGATAATTTTCGAATCTCATAGTGTAATCAGTTTTACAATACTTATGTTGTAAATAACTATCATATCAATTGTTTTTTTTAAAGTATTATTTACTTTGTTCAGTTATATCAACAATTTTTTTTTAAATTGTATTTTGTCTGAAATTTAAAGGTAATTATGAATGTTCCTTGAATTCACATCTTCCCTGAATCAGCAGAGACTGTGGAGCTCTTCAAGCATGTGGTACCTCTGAAAATGTAGAACTTTTCCAATATCTCATAGAGTTGTTGAAATCTGATCTGAGAATATGAATGAACAAATTCTCATCTACTTAAATTGTTATTACCTTAAAAGAGTATAATAAATATTAAATAAAAAGTCTTTAATAACAAAGTGGAACATACCTGTCACAAAGGTAGAAATACGCCATTATAACTCCCATTTTTGCCAGTGATGTCATAAGACAATACATATCAGATTCAGTAGCTTGAATTTTACTATTATTGTTGAGTGGTGTGAATCGAATGGGAGCAGTTCCTCTCCATTGTTGTAACCATCTTCGCACCACCATCACAATTGCAATGACCAAACTGTTAAATGTAACAAACTAGTTTGCAGTTAACATGAAAAGATATGTACAAATAACAAGCTTTATTACTAATACCTTTCTTAAAAGAACATTCCTAATGTGTCTAGAAGTGAAATTACCATGTCATTTGTTTATTTAGCTGTGGAGTTCAGTATACGACAAAGATGATCAAAAATCAGTAATTAGTACTTGTTTGCCACACAATTACGAATTAATGATTGATGGATCATATATTTATGGGTTACACAATTGTTTGTCTCTGCATGCCAAACTACAATCAGAAGGAGAAACCATCTATGTACTATGCAGAATGCAATGTATTAGTCTTTGGTTCCCCATAGGGCACTTGCTGACATAAATGCTTGTGCTGGGGTACAGATAAGTTTGGATAAAAAAAATTATAAATAGTACTTCATTTACTACTATTTCTCTTATCAGTGAAAACATTTTCAAAATGTAAGGTAATGTTATAAAAAGATAACATAAATTTGTTTAAAAAAGGTTTCCTGAAAGGGAAATGATTTTTCTATGAGTAACTGATGCAGCAGATTACAAATAAAAACTAATACACGGCTTCCTGTTAACTACTATCAACATCAGAATTTCACCTTTCACAGGATCCAAGGTTACAAGTGTAATGAAAAGAGACTCATGACTAACTGTGTACATTGTTATTAAATGAAGTACTGTTTCCTAATAAGAGTTTTAATTACCAGAAGTTACAAAATACAATTTAAACAAGGGATCTAGAATAATTTCCTCTTGGCTTATGTCAAACACACTCTCAATTTGTCAATCACTTTCTATCTCAATAAAATCACTTCATATTTTCAACAAATCTAACTTGCAAACAAACTAGACTTCAAGATCCAATTCACATTCAGTAGAAACTTTAGAAGAGCACCATCAAACAAAAGAGCAAATGACCTTCAGATCAGTTTCTTGCACACGTTGTGCTTTACAAGTGCTTGACAAGTTCCCAAAGTGGTTTGCAAGCTCCCCAAGATGGAGCAAAATGGCAAAGAGAACTGTTATTTACAACCAAGACATTGCACTACCTGTATCTTGAGGATTTGTGAAGGCAGAGATAGCACTAAACATTCAATCAAAAGTGTTGAGACATGTAATGAGGAAAATTATTTTTAAATCTGAGGTAAATAAATTAGAAATCACTTAAATCTTCCTAACAAAATAAATTAAACATCAAATACTTAATGACAAGAAGAGTCTTATTATCTTTCAACTATAGACCTTTTCAATTTTTTCTATTTCTTTTAATCGACTTTTGACTGTTTCTTACATTGAACTTGAATAATAAAGTCTATGCATTTTGCAAACCCCTTGAGGCCAACAAATCAAAAATGACATCAAATTCCAAAAGATTTCTATAGAAGCCTCCCATTACTACAAACTTTCAACAAAGGCAGAACTGATGTAGCAAGAGCATGCGAGTGTGGGAATGCAAGTGGAGTGAGAGTTAATAGGGCAATACACTTTGGAATTGGCATCTTGCAGAGTAGTAATTTGCAACAACCACTTGACAATAAAAATGGAATAACAAGGTAATAAGCATCAATGCAAACAACTATTTTTTACAAAAAGCAGCAAGCTGAAGGCAAAGGAATTTTGGGTAAAATTTTTTAGAGAAATGAATATGAATGAAACGAGAAATGATTAAAAATGTATATCCATTTCTTAATACAGTAAAAAAATAAAATAAAATAAATTCAAAAAATGTAAAACTGACTTCAAAAAATAAAAAAGGACTTAAAAGTTAAAAACAATAATTTCAAACATACTTCACACTTTTGACAGTAAAATTATACCGCAATTTTTAATTAAATAAAGTTAGTGCTGAATTGGAAGACTAAATGCAACCAACTACAAACAACAACCAAAAAAAACCGAATTGCATACCCACTGAATGACATATGCTTGTTTCAACTTTTAATACTGTTCATCAAACACATAGATGAGACCATTGACATGGAATTTGCATTTCTACATGTGATTTTTCTTTCAGTTTTGGATTCAGTTGTATTCATATTAGTCACAATATAATGTTACTCTGTTTCCAGGACTTTTACAGGTATATTTTATCTAGTTTTTATTTTGATTTCAGTACCTGATAATGAGACCATAGAAAGTTTCAAAATGGTGTATACGACGACTGATGTACAATAAATGATACTGAGTTATGCTTTGATTGTCCTTATTGCATTTGATCAAAAGTAGAATGATATATAAAAATGCTGACAATCGTATCAGAATACTATAGAGATCATTCTTCTTTCAAAGCAATAATAAATTCAGTACTGATACACTCATACAGTGGAATCTTATTAGCAAGTTCTTCAAAAGAATACAAAATTTTGAACTTAATAAGCAGCAAAAAGTGTTATAAAACTCTCAATCTATCATTTTCACATATCCTTCTTTAGAATACTTTAAAAGGGAGTAGAAACTACATTACATATACTAAATAACCCCCTCATATTAAGGAGTTAAACTAAAAACCACACAAAAATGAAATTACACACAAATACTAAATATAAAACAAATCTACAGAAAGTACAAACATCTAGCAACATTGGTCAATTAAATTCAAATAAATGCTTGGTAACACTAACTGCAACATAAAGAACAGAGATTGCAGAAGCATAGCAGAACATATTGCTCTGGCTCATTGTTTGTAATCAATATGAAAATATCCTGAATACTCTCTGCAACTACCCCTCAACACTCTGGTACCCACAAGTACTTGAAATTACTTTGGACACAACATGCATTGAAGATAGTGCTGCTGCACCTGAAAATGTGTGAATCACGGAATATTACCAAAAACTTTAAACATGCTAAGCAGGATAGTTAAATGTCTACATGAGTAATTTAATAGAATTGGGTCTGGGACTTAAAAATATGGCCGTGAAACATGGTGTCAAGAAAGATGTTAACGAGACTCCAGTGTATTGCTTCTTACAGTTGTCTCCTCTCACAATCAAGACGTACCAGTTGTAAATCAGACTCCTTTGAATGTTCTATCTCTCAATAACAAATGTTATTGACAAATGTTATTGTTAGTTTACTCATTCCACATTTAGCAAATACACAATTTTATTCCTCGGTATCCTCAACAATATCCCTTTTCTCTTTGATTTGTGACAAAAATGAATTCATTCATTCTCAAAGATGAGAATGTATCAAAACACTTACCAAACTCCTAAAAAGGAAAATGTAACAACTTGCAGTGTTGTGTACGGTTCTGCACTACTGCAGCAGGTACCATCATTGAAGTTCATGTGATCATTGCAATACATATTAAGTAAAATCTGCAAGTATCAACAAAAGAAAGTAGAAACTACATTGCAACATTATAAGGAAAGGTCAAATTATTATACAATATTTCCAGGGACGCATGCATCCATATTTGTTCCTTATAATTTGCACAAAACAAAATTGAAGGCAACAAACTAATTTAAGGGGCAATATAGGAAAAATTAAGAACAACTCATTTTCAGCCCCTTTATAAAAAGTGCACATTTACCACTTGCCTGAGTATCATGCTTCAAAGTTAAAGGACCAAGGTGAAGCCCGTCTGGACTTTCCTCTGGATTTCCTTCAGCTACAAGGCGAGAACTTGCCCAAATCTTGGCTGCACTATGTTGCAATATCTTAAACAGAGGGAAAAAATAATATTTTGAACTAAACAAATTTTGTATAAATCTGAAACATTACAATGTGATTATACACTCTTAACCATGTCTTTAAAAAATACAGTAGTAGCAATAGTAAAAATTGATTTTTTTTATAAAGTCAGAATATAATAAAATATAATAACATAATCTTACGTTTTCTTGAAGGTTCCTCCACATTCCTCTCATTGTTCACAATCTTTTGCAAATGGCTGAGTGGATGTTATGTTATTTAATGGCTTATTAAGCATTTTCTTTGTAATTTCCTTGATAATTTTCTAACAATTGAAATGCACTTACATCTGACTAAAACTCTCATAAATAATTTTGGATAATAAAAAAATTATAAACCAAACAACTGTGAATACATAGGTAAATAAAATAAATTTGCTCTCCCAGAGATCAAATGGTTTTTTCTGGAAATTCCTTTTCAGAATAGTATGCAGTTATTATTGAACAATGTAATACCAAAAGTTATCCAATACTTAGAAGTAGGCAACATTCAAGGGAATTAAACTTTTAGATTGTAGATACATAGTGGTAGTATTTTTAATGCATTGATCACATCTATATCTTAAATATAACATTCTACACTATGTAAATCATTGTAAGTTAAAACAGCTTTATCCTGGCTTCAGAACAGAACTGAACACAGAAGCATTGTAGGTAGGCCACTCATAAATGGTCTATTAATGAAGCAATTTAATTTTATGAAGCAAATGAATTTAATTTGATATACTTTCATGAATGTTTTGACAGTATATAGTGCAAAGCCTCCCCTGGCAGATGAAATCAGAAGTTCTAAATAGCTAGATTTCCCAGAAGAGTGAAAACCCCCCAAAAAAGTATGAGAAGATCCACCTCCCCAATTTTTTTGTGCAACATTTTGCAATCTCTAAATAGTTTAAATTGTTGATTTAAAAGTGAAAATAGCTTTGCAGTGGAATCTAATCTTCAGCATTTCTGGCAATTCTTGCTAAGGAGTAATGGAACGATAAAAAAATTTAATGGAACATCCAAAAAGTTTCAAAAAACACAAAAAAATAGTTTAGAGGCTCTGGAATTGTTTCTGTAATACACAATTTAAAAGCATGTTGTGGTAGTGTGTGTTTTGTGGATTACATGTGCACATGTGGATTACATGATAATCCATATAGGCCATAATTTGCCAACTTCTGTTATTCTGTCTTTTATCTGTTTGAAGGACCCTTGGGGGGGGGTAAGTCCCTATCCAGCAGTAATACAATTACAGGATTTAATGTCCATGGTTTCCTATCCACGGGAACAATCTGTCATCTTTCCTTTGGGCATTGTATGTGGAGTGGAAGTAATTTAAAATAATTCATCAAGAAATGAAAAAACATGAAAAATATCAATCTTGGGTTCTAGAGGGATTATCACCTGGAAAAAATCTATCTTATCCAAATGTGTCAACAAAATCAATGTTAAAGCTGATTTATCAATTAATAAACTTTAAATCAGTCCAGTAATTTAATATATCTCACAAGAAGAAGACATTGATTCTGATCACACCTTTAGCCCATTTGCAAAGATTTCTACAATACTGCTTTTGTGCTACTGCCTGTGAGAAAATGAAATTTGCTGAAGTAGTTGGATTGACTGCTTTTCCAAATGGAAACTTGCAAGAAACTATCTGTATATATTCAAATGGATGTTGGTGTGTTTCAGTACAGTGAACTCCAACACTGTGTGACTGATCTCCATGAAAGTTGGCACATCTACATGTTTTTCACGCAGAAGGTTTATATGCTGTTCATTTTGTTGTAACTCCACTAAATTGAGCTGCAGCACAAGATTGCACTTAATTTTAATTCAATTTCCATTCAAACTGAGCTCCACCTGGGCTCCATTATTGTTGAGCATTGCCAAGTTATGCAGGGCCAGGCCAAGGAACGGAGGGCAGGACAGGCGGCACGAGAGGGAGACAGGGGAACAGGGACACAGAGAGAAGAACAGAGAGACAGAGACTCTGAGAGAGATGTACAGAGACCGACAGGGAAAGAGACGCAATGACAGGAAGATAGAGACAGAGAGACAGAGAAGATAATGGAAAGAAAAGAAAAATACACACATATACACACCTTTCTCGCCTTCATGCTTGGAAGTTGAGATTTGCTTAATTCTGTAATGTGATTTCAATAATTTTCACAAATTGCATTTGCAAGAAGTGGACTTCTTCCTCAGAAGCTTCATCGAAGAAACTAATTTTTTCCATGAAGGAAATCTGACACAAAACAGCACACAACAAACCTAACCTTGCACATTCCTATGCCTATGTTCTGTTTTTTCCAGCAATATTTAACAAGTATTTACTCATTTTCCCACCATTTCCTTCTTAGTAGAAGTATTAAGTTGGTTATTAGTAAAAGTATTAAGTAGGCAAATTGTTGATACTTTAATGTATCTCACATGTAGAACCATGACTGATATTGGCTATGCTGTCAGAGTAGTATCTTGAAGTTTAAAAAAGCCAGTAGAACATGATATATACAAAGTTACGAGCAGTTTCCAATATTTGAAGAGTATTGCTGAAAATATACACTGATGCTACAGTGATGCAGATCATGGAAACGACCCTGAAGCAGGACGTTCACCTTCAGGTGTACTCTTTTCCTTCCATTTAGCTATTAGCTGGTTTAGTTGAACATAACTTTCTGTTGTCAAATCTTCAAAAGAAGCTGAGATTGTAGCAGTTAGTGAGCTGCAAAGCAGATCATGGGAGTTTGAATTGATCATGGAGTTGTTAAGAAACTTGAATGATTCATTTCAGTTGAAAGAGTCAAAACAGACATTCAGTCAGTTAAAAAAGATGAAAAAATATTTATTATTTGACAATGAAGCTCTCACTTTTCAAGTACAGGATCTTGAGTTTCTTCATAGGACAAAATACATCCATCTCAGATATTACTTAGTTAAAGGTTCAGCAATATCTGAAGAGATCAATACATCAGAATGGTCACAGGAAATTGACTCATGTGCTTTTTGTTGACTAGACTTTGTTGCTGTTTGCTTTATATACATTATGCCAACTGAACTTGAGGCTAATTTTAAGTTAATACAATTGGGAAGGTGATTCGTATTTTCATACATAATTAATAACTAAGTGATTCTTATATGTAAGTTGCCATGAAAGAGCGTGTGTAATTTATAGTATTCATTGTTTTTATATATATATATATATTTTTTAACTTATTTGAGTTCAGAAAGTCATTCAACATTCAAAATACTTGATTAAATACACTACTCAATAAAATATGCAATATTATCTTTGTTGCACACACTGTTAATACCCTGATATGAACATACTTTCAAGTAATTTCCATATCTTTAACAAAGACGAATAGGCATTTTCACATCATCCATTTGCTAGTTATACATCATTTAACTATGCCAAGGAAAAAATTGGGCTACTCACTTCTCTTGCTGCATTATTGTACTGGTCAATTAGATTGTTGGTAATCACAGATCGAGAACTATGTAATTTCTCCCTATTGACAGGCTCCTGCAATGTCCACAGAACCCTTGTTTTCTTTACTGCAAGAGTATCTATTGCCTGAGAAACAAAATGAACACATTTACTCAGGAAACATTGAAATGGACCATTCTAAAATTTTATAGGCAGATACATACATGCACCAAATGTGTTAAATTCACTTTGAAGTCTTCTAATGCTCGCAATGAGGCATTTGATTCTTTTATGGTCCATGTTCCACTCCCAGCAATAATGACACTTGGAGGTTCATCCTGTTTCTGTATAAAGAATTATTGACAAAGGAATAAATTTAATTACTCAGTAGATCCTGACTGAATGCAAATGTGGAAAACAGAATCTACATTTCATTATAAATCAACTATGATTAAGGTTAAACATTCAAGCAATTCTACTATCATTATAAGGTAGAGTCAAAAGAAATTAATCATAATGCATTATTGTGGTAACATTTTGTTATTCCATTAATATTCAGAAATTCTTAATTCTACGTAAAAGATAAAGAAAGCCAACAACACAAACCTTCCATTTCAGGAATTCATCAATCATATGCCTTGAAACATATGGACTCCATATTAATTCCACTCTCAGTCTCAATTTCAAATCTATGTAAGAAAGGTTTGAATGACGCTCCTGATGAACAGATGGTGTAGTGCCATCCTGTGGATTTAAATTATTCAAAAACTCATGGTACATTTGGCGAATCCTTGAATCGCCTATAAAAACAATATGGTTATGTTTTCCTAAAAAGGCAAGATACCGCAAACATCTTTTTGTGTCTCTGAAAAGAAAAGAAAGAAAAGTAACAAGAAATAACATCTACAATACATCTAATGAATCCTATTATAATTAACACTAACAATTGAGTATATTGATGCATCATGCAACCATATGGTTGCCATTCTTGATCTCCTTTATATCTTCCATCTGATAAAAGCCATTTACAGGAATCAATTCCTAAAGGAGATAAAAATATTTATTATTTCTCAGCATAAATATAAAAATACATATGGTTTATGGACGTTTAGGATTCTAAAAGGAAATTTTCTATCAATTATCTAGAACAAAAATCACTAACACTAATGATACCCAAATGACATATTCAAAATTTTAGGTTAGAATTGACTGTAGAGTAGGTTACCGTATCGCACATGGAGCATTCCATGATAAATTATGAAGCCTATAACTAGAATAAATGCAAAAATTTTCGCATTTTTCGCATTTATTTGTTGAATAATTTCGGCGGCGGATCTTCCTGTTGTTCCTGGGCTTGGCGCTTCAACCGACATTCTTCATATTCCTGCACCATACACCACTTTATTGTTTGAATCAGAACAATTTAAAAACAACGCTACAAGCATTGAACTTGTAACGCCGTAGTGTTAGATCAAAGCCTCATGATTATTTCACGTTATATTATTCATGGCTATTGGGCATTATGTACACCGCAAACTGTATTCCTGCGTAGTTCCTGCGCGTCAGATCTGGGCGGTTTGGGTTTGGCCTGGCCGGAGTGGATTCACTTGCAAAAAGTTGCAAAACAATGCCAAAGAGGTAGGGAGAAATGGTCTGTATAGAGAGGAGCAGATGTGACGCCACGTGGGTCAGTGATTTATTTTATGTCGCTCACTAATACCAAAAATAATTTCATTTTCACTAATCTGCAAGTATCATCAATGCAGAATCGAAGCGTTCGCATAGACGCGAAGTTAGGGATGGCAAGGAACTTTCGTGAGGGAAGTTCAGAGGGATAAAGAAACTTCTAGCGAACTTAAGGAAGTGACTTGGAAGTCTCTTAGTCACTAATTTTCTAGTATATGATACTTCCTTTTCGACAGAAAGTTTCTTCTAACAGTTGTTTATTGCCAATGTGATTTGTAAATGTTCTGACGTATAAGTCAGCTTAGAAATTAGATTCTTGGGAGCAGTACTTTTTGAGATGCGACACAAAATGTAATGAATAAGAATTGGATATAAATGTTTTTAACATAAGAGGTAAAGATTTAGAGAATAACGGAAATTCAGAACAAAATATTCACAACTGTCTATGCGACCGTCCATAAATTACGTAAGGCATATTTGGAGTAATTTGAATACCCCCTGTTTCCACGAACCTGTAACGCGGAATCCCCTCTAAATAATAACGCTTATGATAACATCCAACTTATCTACTGAAAGTAAAAATACATTATATAACAGTAAAAACAATTTGAATTAATTCTGTTCAATACGATCATTTATTATAATTAAAGTTAGAACTAGTTGGTTTGGCTGACCTCGCCTATTAGTATCAGATTGGAGACAATTTTTGAGGAAGGATGCCTTGGCGAGACAAATTCTGACAGACTGATAAGCCATGCAACGCCTACATGGATGATGCATGGTAGATAAACTAGTTGTGGCAATTTAAACGGATTCTATGTAGAATTACTACAGATCAGTTTTGAATATTTTCTTGATTAAAAAATAGATATATTCATTGTTACAATTACACAATTTATTTATATTTTTAATTTTATTTGTTAATATCTTAACGTTTCAGTATGTGACTGAATAAATGAAATTATATCTGCAAATGTTGAAAAACTATTAACGTTGTGTTACTTTAATCTAGTAACCCCCCTTTCCCTATGTAACACTGCGTAACGCTGCCTCAAACCCCCTTCCCCCTCTTTACCGCTACGTAATTTATAGACTCCCCTATTATATAAATTCTTGGTAGAAAAATGCTTAAAGACAAAATTCCGGTAGCGAAATATCTATTAAAAAATACAAACCTCCCCCTCCCCAAATTGTGGAATGTAAAGATGCGTGGTATAATGGAAAGACCCCGAAAATTAAAATATTTTAATGATTTTTGGGTCGACACATCTAGAACTTACTCCTAACGAATTTACAAAGTTTCAGCCCGAAAGCAAACTTGACAGCGTTATGTGTGACACACTATTATCCGTTCAACACAAGAAAAAAACTGATGTAAACAAATTGAAGAAATCTTTGCGCCACACTAGATTGGACTACTTCCTAGCGCACTACTTTCGATGACGCGAGTACCGTACCCCGCCAATTCAAATGGAATAAGAGCTGCCATGTTCATACAACTACTTTACTTACGGACAGTCTGCTTCAAAACTTGGTTGTCTATGAGAGGATGTCAATTATTTGTATAAAATGGTTGGCCTAAAATTCGGAAGTTCTTGATTACAATTCACAAGCTGCAAGAATTTCACAAGCGTTGGTGTTTCGTTTCTGCACGTTTGCCCGTTTGATGCAAGGAATGTACTTTCTATCGAACTTCACTGACTATAAAGTCATCGTATGCTTCAATCACAGGTTTCGTCCTCTTTATTGTCTTATCTGGCGTTTGTAGTGGTCCATTGTCAGATAGCACTTTCCGGAGTTCATATACGCTGGATACAGTGAAGACTGCGATTTGCTTCACCGGTAACGACGGTAACGTAACGAATAACGAATCGGAAATGTTTAGAACGATGCGCTTTTCGCTACTCAAAAGAAATTTTACACGCAGGTGTTTAATTATTGAAGGCCCAGCCACACTGAGACATTCTAAAACAAACTGAATAGCAAAGCCTCGCAAGCCGATCGGCGGCGTGATCCACGTCCTTTGGAGATACCTCAATCAGAGTGGCAAAAGTTCTTCGACAATTGGATCAAACGCATTCAAAAGTGTATAGATCTTCATGGAGAATATTTTGAAAAACAATAACGTGATTTTCGATGATTAATATTTGTTTTTGTTCTCTAATCCTGAAATATTAAAGGCAACTCTCGTATTTACTTTAGCTTCAGGATCACTACAGCAGCAGAGCTAAGGTTATTCTAATACATTTTGAAATTAACTAGTCATTACTAGGTCTCCGGTCTAGGAAAACATTCCGGGTTTTTATTTCTTAGCGCGTGAGGGCCTGTCTTTACAATGGAATACCTCACGCCATTTCTCGTCTTTCTCTGTCGTGTCTCGACCAACTCGTCACGACGAAATATTCCATCGTGAAGATAAGGCCTCGCACGCCTAGAAATAAAAACCCAATTATATTTATACCACAATTTCTCTCTGAGTTATTTTTTGTAAAACCGCGAAAAGTACGGGGTGGGGCAAGGTAAGGACCCGGGCAAATACCCGAAATATTTTTTGTATACCACAATTTCTCTCTGAATTATTTTTTGAAATCGTAGAATATTTTGTGCGAAAATAAGCAGTATGCGAGAAAGTAAAATAATTAAAAGTTAATCAATAATACGACACTGATAGCGTTGGCAAACAAATGTAAATAGATCGAAAAACATATAATAGTAATTATTAAACACAATTGTATTGGAATATTCTGCAAAAAATATACAAGTGGTGCTACGAATGGCACAGACTTTCCGTATTATTTTTCTTTTTTCTTTTGGTCTCGGCTAGCTATACAAACTTGCCAAATACTGTTGCCAGCTGCCATCTATTAAATGCCAAAATACATATTTTTTGACTTTTTCGATTTCCTAATAGAACGAAAATATTATTTTAAAAATATTAAAACCAGTAAAACCTCGTCCTAAATGGCAATTTTCTTTGAAAAATTTAGAGCCTTTTTAAAAAAAACGGGATTTAAGCGCTACTGTAAATTCGAAATTTGAAGTTCTTTTTCACAGAAAATTTTTGAGTTTTCGAAAAAATTCATTCGAAGTCATTTAAAGCACATTAACTTAAAACTCACTCACAAAATTGTTTACAAATCACTGCTTATGTACATGCGAACAACGTGAGAGATCTTTCAAATAAATTACATTTGTGTAATTTCTGGAAAAACAAATATCCCGAATTGAACATTACGTCATTTTAAATAGTGCAATTAGCACTATCCATTGTGTTCAATAGCTTATAAACACTTCACTACTAAGTATTGAACCTACTGAACTCAAAAGGCGAGAATCAAATGATTGTGTACGCAATCCTAAAATAAGAATCTTAATTAAAATAAGACGGACGGACTTTTGCCGTCAATCGATTTTTCGATACCAAGGACCCACAAAAAGGGTTTCTGGTTACATCATGTGTTAAATTTCTTAATTTAGCAACTTTATTCACTTTTTCGTTATCATGGTCCGGCAAAGAATTTTTCTACTGAAAATTTGTCGTTTCTTCGCGCAGCATTACATAACTTTCTCTGTACTACGTATTTTTGATACTCGTAAGCAAACGAGAAAGTAATAACAATTTTCAGAAACTGCCGCAAATTTCTACTTTATTTTTTAGATATAGTCAAGAACGCTTAAAATGGTGCAAGTCTCATTTTCGTTAAATTTTCTATTTTTTTCGATTTTTCTAAAATTATTTTTGTCACGACTCCTCTAGTCGCAAGTACTTTTTTCCCTTCAGTCGGGGACTCGGAGCCGTTAGATCCCTGAGTTCCTAGACGTCACCCAACCAGGAACCCGCAAAGTATCGAATTCGCTTAACCTCCGTGACTTCACAGAGCGCAGATAAAGAATTTGGCTAGCAATGCCGGCAATTGCTAATGCTCGAATATTGCGAGAAAATATGGCTTTTTTACCACCACTAGTTTTACCAAAGTTATGTTTCACTGCTCACAGCAAAGGCAGTCGCAGTGGCGAACGAGTATGCAAAAACATTGGGAGGCGTTTTCACTTTGATTCTTAATTATGATAGTATACACAAAATGCAGAATGTCACCACGTCTGGTCGGGCTTAACATGAGACGCCATTAAAGATGGCGGAAAATGTAATATTGAGACAGTTGTCCTACATAGAGGATATATATATATATATATATATATATATACTACTATATAACTGTTGGCCTAACACACTTTTTACTTTCCGTGTACGTACGTATATACGGAACGTGTATACGTACGATATATATATATATATATATATATATATATATATATATATTATAATATATATATATATATATATATATATATAAGTAGCATAGGGAAAGTTATGTAATGCTGTGGAAAATTGATTTCGAAATGTCAACGAAAATACACGTTTGGAGTACCCTGAACACTACAAGCGCATAAATCATACGTTAGATTTTTTCAAATCGAAGAAACTCGGGATGATCAGGCTCGAGTACAATCTTTGATATTCTTTTTTTTAAAAAATCTTTAAAATACTTTACATTAAGCCCCCATTTTCAAAATTTTCTCCAAAACACAAAAAAAGTAAAATACACTTATAATGGTAGCATAGGTCAGATGTTCAGGTTTAATTCTGAATTTGCGAAAATTTCTAATTTTTTTTTCGGACATCTTATTACAACTACAAAATTGAAGATAGAGATTTTTCCTTCAAATAAAATTTGTTTTTAATAGCGAGTTCTTTCATTAAGGTCATGTACATTTTTGAAAAATATAGTAGTTTTTGCGCAATATTACGGGCAATTATAAAAAATTACAAAACAGAATTTTCTCAAAAACGGCTCCACATTTTTTCTTCTTTTATAATACTTGCTTTTTTTATAGTATGAAGAAGAAGATGAAGAGTACCGATGGGATACCTTCACTGGGAATCATTGTCATAACAATTCTACAACATCATATTTACTAATTATTTTGTAAAAAATAGATTGTAAATTTTTGTTACAAATAAAAAGAAATTCTTCTAACTTTTCAAACGGATAGTGCTAATTGCACTATTTAATATGGCGTAAAGTTTATTTCGAGGTATTTTTGTTTTTTTAAAGTTTCACAAATTTAATTTCTTTGAAATATCGCTTACGGTGTTATTTTAACATTTTCAACAATTTATAAACAGTATTGTATTTTTAAGTTAATGGGCTTTAAATTACTTTGAATGAAGTTTTTAGAAAACTCAAAACTTTTCTTCAATTTTGAATTTACAGTAGCGCTTAAACGCGTTTTTCTAAAACGGCTACAATTTTTTTAATTGCACTTTAGTACGAGGTTTTACTTTTTTAATATTCTCAAAATAAAATTTCCGTTCGACTATCAGGAAACCGAAAAATTAAGATTTTTTTTTAAAAAACGTACTTTTGGCGGCGTTGATGGCAGCTGGCAGGAGAATGTGACATATCCGAGCCAACCGAGACCAAAGGAAATCGAAAACTAATACGGGAGTATGTGCCATTATATAGAACCACATGTAGGCTGTGATAATTTCGGGGAGAACTTATCTTTCATTTCATATACTTACAAAATTCCAAATAGGATATCATTACGTACGCATTGTTTTCTACAAATTCTGAAGCAACTACAGCGAATCGTAGGCGGACTTACGCCTAGTGTTTGGCCTCATACCAATTACTAAAATTACATACTAACCGGAGATGCTCCAAAAAAGTTTCAACGTGTCCCCGCCACTGAACGTCGGGATGAGACATATGACCAGCTGATATATTAGCTTATACCGGACAAGTTTGTGTCGCGGGGGTTCTGTCTTCGGGGATTGGTTCTGATCGGTCAATTGGTTCTTTCGAATTCAATTGTTAATACAGGAAATACACAATCCAAGAGATTCGTACTAACCTGTTTCCCAGGACAGGGGGAACTGCTAAATGCCTTTCAACATGATGCTGTTTATACTGCGATTTTTCCAACTCTACCCCTGGCAGGTATCAGCTGTTGATAGTTTCATCTAATAGGGAGATTGAACATCATTGTGAGGTCACTATGGTGACGTTCAGGCACCCAATTGGATGAAACTGCCAACAACTGATGTCTGCCTATTAGCAGAGTAGTGCAAATCGTAGTACAATTTCGCGCGTAAAATTTTGAATACAAGAAGGTGAGAATTTTGTATGGCCGTTACATTACCAGGGCTCACTTTACTAAAGGCCTTCTGATGGTGGCTTGGGGTTAGATCCCATGCTTCCTTTCGAGGCCCAGATTACCCGACGCTCCCTGTCTTTCGATTCGAAATCACCCTACACCTGACACTAAATATATCGTGAAAGCCATAAGGAGAGGGTGTATACAACGGGGACAATTGCTATATAAACTAGCGAAAACTAGTTAATTCGTTGTAGAAACTAACAGGTATATGACACTCTTCTACTTAAAATTGGCCTGATGCCCTTGTTTTGCTTCTGGACGTAAATGTAGCTTCATATGCGCACGTTTTGTTGAACTCTTTTGCTTGTATAGGGTAGAGATAAGGGCGGGTTGCTATTTGGCAGTGTTGCCATATCGGCGGAATTCCCGCCGTTTTCAGCGGATTTTTGAACTCGTACGTCGGAAAAAAATTAGTTTCTCGGACAGCGGAATAAACGCGGCGGAAATTAATAAAGACGGTGGAAAATAAGCGGAATTTCAAATCTTCACTATTAAGGCCTGGACATATATTGAGTGTCCGAGCAGAAACATTTTAAAATAATAATAAAAGACAGATAATTCAGTCTACATAAGTGCGTCCTTTATTTATTATTTACTAGGCTGTCCGGGTGACGCGCGTCAATGGCGAAGGTGCCGGTAGCGGTAGCGGACGTTTCGGTAGCCATTCTGCGACCTTCCTCAGGGCGTAATGCGCATTACCGCCTAGTAAATACTGACTCCGGCCGTGGAAGCCTACGCTCTCCTTTATTATTATTAATATTTTATTATTATTATTATATTGTTGTTGTTATTATTTAAAAATATTGGTGCTCGAATACGCCATAACGACCGCTATGACAAGAATAAGCGATTGTCCTTATCTACTTCATGCATTCATAAGATATGTCCTTTTCTATCATTTGTTTTAATAAAATAAATTAATGCAACATTAAATTGGAATGAAATTTTTTACGTTTAAACGGACTTAGGCGGAAACTTTAAAACCATTAGCGGATTTTCGGCGGGAAACTGAAACGAACATGGCGGAATCCTCTGAACACATCTGGTAACACTGCTATTGTTAGCAATGCAAAAAAAATCATACTTGCAATTCGGTACTGATGCAAATACCTTTTCTATAATTGAGAAACGAAAATGACTATTTTCAAATATTGATCTTTTGAGCGATTTTTAAAAATTTATGTTTATTTATTTATGTTAAACTTTTACTCATCTTTCAACTATTTATAGTTAAAATAACGGGAAGGGATTTTGGAACTCAGGAAAACGTGCGCAGGTAATCTTTCCCCCCCTACATCACAGTTTTAACTGTTTTTTTTACTGAAAAAATCTAAATCTAAAATTTACAAAATTGAAAATTGATACGTTGTCAATAATGGTTTTAAAATAGGCCTAAAAAGAAATTCCAGAAACACCTTTCTAGAAAAAAAAAGAACATTAAATTTTGCTTCAAAAAATGCAACTGATTTTTTTTTTAATTTCTCTTTTTAGATAGACATTATTATTTTTAAACTTTTTACTGAAGGTGAAATTTGAAGAATATTACAATACCAAAGTGTACTTAGTGTATACCGTAGTATAATTACTATTAAATATTTTTCAATCTGTTTTCCAATGCTATCTGTATTGTGTTCTTTACTAACTTTTAAATATTTTACTTTCTTGCCTTCTGCTTATTTTTAGCAACTAATGTTCTATGATTTCAAATGAGTTTCACAAAAAATAATTCGAAGAGAAATTGTGGTATAAATACAATTACATAACTACTAACGGCAAGAAACTACGTATTGTTTTAGCTCCATTATTTTACTTTAGGCAACAAACAAAAAGTTTAAATTCGCAGGATAGTGTGATATGCCTGAATTTCCAGGCTCTAATTATATCTGCAACAGAACTTGCTGTTGATGTTCTGGTAGCTGATAGCTATTGTGAGATTAAAAAACTGATCATTCACACTGTTCTTGTTTAGCCAATCATGCCTGCCCCTTTAATGAGACTCTTAAAAACTTACTAATGTTTTAAAAAATGCTTACGTGCACATCAATCTTGCCACCCATCACTTTCCTGCCAAACGTGATGTCCCCAAATGTTATAAAATGCCAAAATGGATTTACAGAGATATAATGATCATAAAGAAAACATGCAGGATCCTTTTCTAAAAGTATATTTCTGAAATATCAACAATCAAGTACATACTTCAAACAAGCATTTTATTATATAATGTCAATGAGGCTTTTTCAAGTAATGTACAAAATTTTACATGGCAGCATTCACATTAAATACAGGAAACAATAGCATTTAACAGATCTTGTTTTAACTTTCAGAAATCATGTATTTATGAAAGAAGAAACCTTCCGTAATTGACTTGATAAAAACTTCATAAAATCTTATATATATACTGCCATAATTCACATTAAGTACAGTCTCAAACTATTTTTACATCCACTCAAATAACATACGTTAGCCATTTGTGAAATCTTTTGGAGCCAGAATTAAATTATGTTCATCCTTTTTATTATTGAAATCATTATCAAATATTTCTAACAAAATAAATTATTCTCAAATGTTACTATTGCTTGAATAAAAAATCAACATTCTTTATAGACATAAAAACTTCCAGTTCCACTATATAAAAATTAAATAAAAAAATATACATGTTGATTTTTTTTATTTTTGACAAGACATTCTGGCAGGGAAAATGATAGGATTTTTTAATGCACTTAAGAGCTCAATAATTTGAATGCCCTTAAGAGCCTAAAGAAAATTCAATCGTCTAATAAACCTTCTCCAAGTTTTATTCACTAATAACATTTCTCAGGATGCACAATAAATACTTTTATTTAAAAGAGCATGTTATTGGTAATAATCTCCCAAGGTATTTGTTTTGTCTTTTCATTCTAACTTCATGTTAGAAGAAAAAGTGCTTCACTTTAAAACCACCCATCATAGTTTACAATTCACACTTTCTGAACTCTCATTTTAATATAAAATCACTTGAAGTAGTATGCTGATTAATCATTATAATCCTGAGACGTTCTGGAAAGCCTCTCAAGATAGTTTTGTAAGCCTTCCTTCTATAAAATTCTCAATCTTCTTTGAATGTCTAGTTTTTTATAAGACACAGGAAATAGCTGGGTTGTCTTTTGGCAAACGTAATGTTTCTAGACAAAAAGATCAATAATGCACAAAGATCAAAATCAAAAAATTCCTATCATTGATTTTCCCTGAAGAGAAGAGAAAGGAATAGTATAAAATTATAAACAATTCAAAAAAGTGTTATTTTTAGAGTTGCCACCTCTTTAAAGTTTAACACATGTGGAATTTATATTATGCATCAAGCAGGATGGGGGAGGGGAGGATGTAAAATATTATTTTGAAATGAGGTATGTTTTTGATATTATTAGACTTTTTGCATGTTCTATGACCTACAAAATACAACTATGTGTATTGACATGTATAAGGCAGTTTCAAATACTATTCCACTTCAAGATGAAAGGAAATCTTCCCTTTTCTATAATTGGGAAGGAATATGACATAGAAATGTACACATTTGTGTTTTGACTTGAATCCAAATAGTTTTCTAAAGCACCAATAGTAACTGTAATGAAAATATATTCTTGTGTTTGTTTTATTTTAAGTTGGGTGAGAGAGATATGTCATAAATATTTTCTGTAAATTCCTGTTTAAAGAAAATTAAGTTACGTTATCTCAGAAATAGTGAAATAACCTGGAGAGAGAGTAACCCAGGAGTCAAGGGATTAAACTTAAAACTCAAAGTCAACAGGTCAAACCGGAAGATGTGACAACACTGGTTATTTTTCTTTTACTGTAACTTATTAAAAAGTAGGATGACAATTAAAAATCTCCTTTGAATACTCAGCATTCACAAATGCACAACTTCAATATATTTGAATTTGTTTATCTGAACAAATACAATAAATACTATCATCACATGCCAATGAAAACACCACCATCTTTGTGCAAATTTACAATCCAATAAAAAACTCTAAAGGTAAATCCAATACATGTTTTGACTGAATTATTTGAATAGTATCTTTTAATATGCATGTAAGTGGAAGACAAGAGCCCTTCTTTAAAATAAACTTTTTGTTATAAGAAGTCACTTAAAATGTTATTTATTGCAGAAGATAATGAACCAGAAAACACCTAGTCTACATTCACTACAGCCTAACAAATACATTAATACACACAATCATAATCCAATTTATAAAAAAAAGTCTATACATGGTGACAAAGTTTTATCATAGAAAGCTTGTCAAACGCTGAGAATGTAGGTGCAATAAACATTCTATTTTAATTAAACAATCTTTTAATATTGCTTCAGAATATCATCATCTAATTGTCATGAATAATTCATGATAACTTAACGATGTGTAATATCGAAGAAAGTATTATAGAATAATTGTGAAAAGGTTGAAGAAACAGTTTTAATGAAATATTATATTCTAAAGAGACAAGTTCAAATATTGCTTGAGAATTTCAATCAATAACCATCATGAAAAATTCATGATAACTAAACTTTGATATGTAACAGACAGAAATTCAATAATGTAAAATTCTTTATTAAATCACCCTCCATTTCCAATTTTTTTTTTTTTTTGTCTAGGTTTAATTACTATGAATTACACTCATTACACAAATCACTATTTTTTATGATCTATGAAGTATTAATGATCAACAAATGTTTTACTTTAATCTCTTTTCTAGATTTTTGAGACACAGCTCTTCTAGAACGTCTCACATGAAAACAGCAAATCTAAATGTAAAATAACCAGGACACAGTTATCACAATAAATGGACGAGTGAAGACAAAGCAAGGGAACAGTTTAATATGGAACAATAAATATGAATATTTAAATAATTTTTGTCCTCTAATATCTACAACAGTCATAATACAGTATGGTTCAATTAGATACCTCAAAACAACTTAGAAAATCAAATTAAAATGTGATTTGGAGGAAAAACTTGTTTTCTAGAAACTTCTATTTTATCTGAACAAACAAAACATCTATAATTAAAGTTTCCTTGTCCCAATTGACATTTTGAGTTCACAAAAATTGATACAGATTATTAAAAATTAATAACTTTGACAACACAGACTAATTGTATAAAAAAGTTGAAAGGATAAATTAGAATATACTGTGAATTACCCCTCTTTAAAAAAAAAAACTGTTTCGAGAAAGAAAGAAAAACAAAACACTATTCAGTAATATAGAAATTTCATAAGAAGACTTAATAATAGAAAATCACTTTAATTCTCAAATATTTGATTTCCAAGATATACAACTCGCTGAGAGTCCACTCTTGAATACATCATTCAGGTACCTTGTGGACATTTTATTTACAATAAATTGCATGGTGTCCCTACTTAATTGCTTCAAGCACTTCAAGTTGCCCTGTCCAGGGACTAATAAAACTCCACACAAGAATGAATATAAAAGAAATTGCATATCTGTTTAACAATATACCACAGAACAATATTTGCTTTAGAATACTGCCTTGCAAATTCTTTTTAACTAATTTAAAATTAAATAATATCAGAACTATAATATGATTTATAGCAAGGAATAGTACACAATTCTTCACAACTCTGGAATGCATAAAAAACACAAGCTGCCCATTAACTGATTAATTGTTTACAAAATCAAAACTGTAGTAACAAATTCAAATGGATGACTGAAACAATTTAGCCTCTTTGTATTTGCAGTGAAATTTAAATTGGACGTGAAATACAGGCTCAGTCCCTACATCCTAATAATTGAAGGAACTCTATTTGAATGTGCATGTCGACATGCAGTATAACAAACTTTGGCACACAAGACAAAGATGTTTGTCACTATACTAAGTGAAAGTCTGCTACTTTGAAATTGTCATTAATCTGCACATTGAAAATGGAAAGAATTTTCTTTTACAATCCAATGTTTACATTTGGTCAATTTACCAATCATTTTCAACCTCCCATGAATAACTATTAAAAATTGTGTGTGAACACAGGTATTAATAAATAACATAGCTGCCTTAAAAGAAGAGAGAGAACCACAGCCATTCTTCACATGTCAGTATGTTGTAACCCACAAGATTAATTGTAAATCAACTTCAAAATATGGTAGCATGTTCTTGCTTACTAAATTTTTTTTATTAATTTGAAGTTTCCAATCCTTCACAGCAATATCTCAATTGCTGTTAACTAGCAATAAATACTCAATTTACAATGTTATTTTACTATTTCATTGACAAAATTATTTTGGACTGATTATAAGAAAAATCATAAGTATTATATAATTAAAAATTTGTGAAGGCAATTACAGCCAGTGGTTGTTCTACACTTTTATGAATGGGGCCCGGATAAAAGTTTTGCAGGTGGACCCTCACTCATTTTGTTACACTACTGATTACAGCCAAGGTAATCTTTCTTCTTTGTTCCTAATGGAAGCCTATGGGCACAAGTCTACTCTTTCAATATGTAAAGTACAAAGTGGAACGAAGAGAGAGTAGAATATTCTATCCAGGCTTCTGTCCCACGAAATGGGAAGCCAACAAATTTGCAAATTAAAATTTTGTTAAATTTACTCAACATTTTATGACTCTGCCTGACTAAAACCAAAATATTTTTCTCAATACCATCTTTTCATTTTGGTAACTGAGCTGAGAAATATTGTGATATGATTGAATTGGACTTAGAATTCTCCAAAGAATCAACATTGGAGCAATTCACCAGAAACAATAAATTTAAAAGATTAAAACATCACGTGGGTGCATTATGAGATGCAATCAGAAGATGAGGCTTCCTTTTCACTTTGCCAACTACATTTAAAGTAGCATAATCAGACAAAATATACTGCTAACTAATTACAATAAATACAACATGAAAACATGAAAAGTAACCTGGTAATGAACATTTCTTGTCAATTTCTTAATTTCCTTTCTTTCCTTGATTGATGACCATCTTGAAGGAATCTACACCAGTAAGAAGGTGAAAGGAGACTACAATTCCTAGCAGATACCAGTCTCCACTCAAAATATAATCTCTCTGCAAAAGACAGTTCTCTTCCCCACGACAAATTTAGAAGCAGACATACTAACACTGACTAGGCTGCAGTCATTAGCTACCCCTCTTATTACATTAAGGCGACTCCACCCATTTGTTATTCGGCCAGTAGCAAGCAACCACCCGTTAGTCCCAAGTAGTGTGGATGAGTTGCTTACCATTTGCCAAGTGACGTACATTCTGTTTTCGCACTACCTAGCGCGTGTCAGTCTTTAGGAAAGAAGGAAACATCAAAGGAAATGAATATTTGTTGAATACATCAGCTGTTTGGGATTGGGTGAGCAATAGCTCACTGCTCAGCGAATGCCGAATATGTGGAGCCACCTTTAGGAAAAAAATTATAAATTGATGCTGTATACAAATCATATAATAGGAATTGGTCAGAAAGTAACAGCTGTGCAAACTATTTGACAGAGAAATACTGCACATAAGGTACAATACAACAAAACAATCTCAAATATCTGATTAAAATAATTTACAGTAATAATTATGAATTAAGAATCTTTTATCAACACAATAATAAAACCAAATTTGTCCCAGTATTAGTTATAGTTATTAATGAACAGTGCCTGGTATCTACCCACAATGAGAACTAAACAAAAATCTCAAGAATATTTTTCTTTCATGTTGGTGTATGCAAGAAAAACAACAGATAACAAGTGCGCTTTCTGCAATTAGCTCAAAAAACACACAATTCAGGAACTTTGATTTATTAAAAACACCTTGCAATTCAAAAGCCTTCCATGAAAACTTCAGAGAAGAAAAAGGGTGTGGTGAAATATGAGTTATTAATAAATTACCAAATACCAACTTGAAAATTACTATTCACCTCTCCTTTCTTTTCAAAATCAAATCTTAACATAATGAAGATGGGTAACAATTGAATTTACCTACACTAAATCAGTTTCACAAGATAGGATTGATCAGAACAGCCACCTTTTCTACTTTAAGATCTACAAAATAACAATCTACCAATTGTTAATGCAGAATATTAGTAGCTGAAAACCCACAAGTCATAGAAGATATGCATTAAACCCACACAAGTGTCAAGTGTCACTAACTTTAAACTACACTGTGCTATATTCTTTGGTATTCGATGACATAAATTATTACTGACAAGATGGTTCATTAAACACATCTTTAAAAAATACTGCATTAAATATATTTCAAAAAATAACTCAAGGGGTTTCAACAAAATTTGTTTTGGATCAACAACCCCTCTCGTTCATTAAATACTCAGTTCTACGAATACATTCTAGCTTCATTACAAACATCGAAAAATATATTATTGAAACATTTTGTTTCTTTTTTTATGAATATTAAAAAATGTCAACAGTGAATACTTCAATTAAAAATTAAGTACAATTATTTAACAAATTATTATTTTTAATGGAATGTTTAGACATTTACTTACAACAAAACAATTAATAATACTGCAAATCACGAGTATACAAAATTCTATCTTACAATTGCAAGTTCAAATGCACAACACACAGTAGTGTCAATAAATGGAATAATGAAAACATTTGCAAAATGATGTCTGGCATTGAATAAGAGTAAATTTTGAGTATCCTGATAGTGACATATACAGACACAAATATACCAAGAGAGATAAAAGAAGAAACTAACAAAAGAAACCAATGTACGAAGTATGAGGAGAAATTTCATGGAATGTTTTAAAAATAATTGTTAATTGTTATGTGACATAAACCACTGCCTACAAGATAAAAACAAATATCTCTATTTTGTCCATAATAGTAACATATAGAGGCAGATAGAAACAAATAATCAAATTGCAAAATTCTTTGCACCGTCTTCTTCTCAATGATTCAGTACATTTTAATTTACTTTTTAAATGTATGAAGAATACTTACCAAAGTATAAGGTGCCCTTTCAAGGACATAAATCATTTAACACTTTATAACAGAAGTCAAACTCCTGAAGATCTTTTCTTTCTATATTTTTTTTTCCTTCAGCTCAATACAAAATACCCTGCCTTCTTTATTTACACAAAAAGTACAAACCATCTTTGCAACACCAGAAACTTTCTCTTATGATTAATAACTCTCAAGGCTTCAACTTTCCTTCAAGCTTGTTATTTACATTATTTGACTTTAAATTAAGTTATGAAATAACACAGCATCGGCGAGTGCGTGGATCCCCCACCATTTCTGCAGTGTTACCAGTGAAACGATGCACAGTTGGAGTAGGAGACGCCATTGGATCACTCTCTGTTCCTACTGAGGGTGGATGAGAAAAAACACTTCCATCTGGACTACTGTTACGAATCTGAGATCTCTGCTTTTTAAGGTCAGCCAATGTCCCAGCATTTATTGTAACAGTAACATTGATGTTAATTTTTCCGTTTCCTTCTGATATGTAACTGGTTTCAGCAGGAATTTCTGAGAAAACAAGAATAAGAAGGTGATCAAAATTTGCTTTCCAGAAATGGAACATCTAGTACACACGAACTTCCCCACTCCCTGCCCACAAGAGAAACCTTTATTCTTAAGGCCAGTGATCCTGAATCTCTTTATGAGCACCATCAAACACCTTGGCTTCATGATCTACTTTAGAGCCCACCTGGAATTTGCCACGCGAGAAAGAGACAGTGGTAAATGCTCAACAAGGCAAAGATCAAGCTCTCAAGGGTCTACACGAGAAGAGAAAACTGCTGGCTTTGTTTGTCATATTTTGCTCTATGGTGCCATCTCTATGAACCATCTCTACAGCTACTAAGTGATTCATAAGAAGAATAATTTCAGTGAACAGGCTATTCAGGTTAGTATTTGTTTTCCGTACTGTCTTAAATGAAGTAGTAAGCATCTTTGTAGAGATGGCTAAGAAAGTAGGAGAAAGAAAGAATGGAAACTTATTGAAAGACATATGGCACATGGTCAAGTCACGCTAAGCCATTCCCTGCAATGTAATGCCTAATAGTGGTTCTGGAAAAAAGATGCAGAAAGGAAGATACGTGTGTGAGTCACAATCTCGCATGCTGGGTAGTATGTAGGGCCAAGTGTCTTCATACACAATCTCCATACACCCATTCCCACCTGCCCCATGATGCCTATCAACACACATACATAATCATATTCACATGCTGTAGCGCCCCCACCTGCTCATCCCCACAATACAACTTAACACAAAACACCATGGTTCATAAGTTTTCTAGATTTTCAAATTCCCTAACTTTTCCAGATTTTCTAATTGAAATTTTTGTTTGTTTATGTTTATCAATTATTTACATATTAGATGACTACGAAAAAAAAGGTAACGGATATTAAAAAACAAAAAATATAAGCGTATTGTGGAAATTATTAAATTATATTAATGAAATTAAATTATTTAACAATAATTAATTGGTTTTTACAAAATAAAATAAACAAATCAATAAAATCAATTAAATAGCAGAATCCTCCTCCATTTACTTCGCTGATAATGAAACCAGTGAACGAATCTCTTTACTAAAACTTTCTATTTGAGTAGTTATTCCTCTTTTGCCCATCCAGCTCACAAATCTTTTGTTTAGCTTTTGTTTTCTCAGCTTCCTTTTTTTCCTTCTTCTTGATTTCAAGGTATTCATGATAGTATAAGCATATCTGGCATAATGAATCATACTTTTAGTTATTGTGACTCGAGGCTGGATTAACCCGTGCAGGGGTCCCAGAGCGGTCTGCATGTGAGGACCCTTATACAATATAATTCTGTCCTTTTTTTTTTCAATACATTTTTTGCATAGGGATGTAAAACAAAAACATTTTTTTTTCTGTTCAGAAAGAGATGACAAACAATAATAGTTAAAAAAATGTTTATGCAACTTACACTTTTTGAGAAAATTTCATGAAGTACTTAACTGTGTATGTTGGGAATCATTGGTAAAAGGTAAACCTTACAAAGAAACAACACTAGTACTTTTCATTTTCTGTTTCTTCTATTTACATACATAAACCATAGGAATCAAGATCTGAACTAAAGAGTCTTTATTGAGAGCCATAACTGATCATAATATTAATGACAATGATTGAACATTTTTAATCAAAAATATTAGATAAAACAATCTTAAATATTTTTGATTAAAATATCAATTCATTTGTATTGAAGAAACAAAACAATGACTATTTTATTATGATAAATATGAATGTTCCATTTTCTGGATTACATACTTGATCTTCCTGAATAATATGAATTAATAATGGAAAATTTGTTTTCGAAATACAGATCGGAATTGATGTCAAAGGACAGACCCAGGGCAAAAAGTACTTTAGTGCCAATTTCCACCTAATGTTTATATGTTTACATTGTGGCAAATATAAATCCGGTTTTAGGAGCTATTCCTGTCCATTTTCATCATATATGACTCATAAAATGACAAGTTTTTTCTTGAGTAGTGTGTATCATCTAAGTGTGTCTTTTTTTATCATTTGGACTAGTGGCACCCAATCAAATCAACATTGCTTCATCATTAAAGGGTTTAGTATAATACATCACAATTTAAAATGTCATATAACATACAAATATTAATCCCTAGTTGTTAAAAATAAGCCAGTAAACACCAACCTGTAATGCCTGTGTCCATGATAATTTACAACAAATTTTCCTTGAGTGCAGAAGAGCCCAAATACACGCATTAAAACTTCTCATCAAGAAACCAAATGACCCTTCGACTCCGTTTCTCCTTAACTTATGTGAACTCTGGGGTCAGATTCGACCCCACACATTTTACCCAAGTTTACCTGTTTTTCATGCATGGATGGGTTTTGGAATTATCAATTAAGAAAATTATGCTATTTATTTGCTTCAATTACTCTATCATTCTAAAAAAACAAAACAAAGAATAATATTTCCAGAAAAAGATTCTACCATATACTCATAACTATAAATAGGTGTCTATCATACCAGCACAAGAATGTCTGATGCAGAGCTACTAACTTGCAATACACCAGATTTTCTTTGAGAAACAACAACATAATCTTATAAAATGGAAATGAACATGTATTTAGAATTTTTTTAAATAATTTAGACGTGTAATGTCTTACCTATCTGGGAATATTTCTGACCCCAGCCACATAAAATTAATAAAGGCATTATATTATTTTAAAAATAAAATTACTTCAAACCAAGAAAACTTAAAATAGTTTACAAGAAATGTAAAACTGGTCATAAATAGCATATTTACAATGAAAAGTTCATGTGAATAATTTTCAGTGTTGCAAAACATTATTTGTGCTTGGAGTCAGAAAAAACCCAAAACAGAGTCTAAAGATTCATCAAGCTCCATGAAGTCATGGACGTTAAGTGGTTCAAGTCATCGTACATTCCCAATTGGGTGACCATCTGGGAGCCTCGGATACCAATGGTGCCGAGTCCCTGGCCAACAGGGATAAAAGGCAATGACACCAACTTAACATGACATAAGACTGACTAAATACATTCAAGGAGAATTACACCACAAGAGCTTGAGGACTCTGTTATGCACTTAACAGAAAAAAACTGTTGTTCAACAGCTGCTGAAAGCTATCATCTTTAGGACACGCTTTGTGGGGCTACATATACATGTTTTTCCTATTGGGTGCAACATAACAACAAAGTGTACTATTTTCACAATCAGCCTTTTCCAGAAAACTTGAATCAACCAACTCCACATTTTCTTCAAGCTCATTTAATTGGTTCTCGCTCTAACAATTCTACACCAATGCTCAAGTTTGAGAAAGTCAGGCACGGGCACACTAATAGAGAAAGGAGCAATAGTTCATAGATGGTCATTGAGCAATCAAATTAGCATTAAGTCTCTCAAATTTCACTGGTGATAATGAATCAATCTCATTGACCCAGCAAACAAGACTTTGAGGGAGAGTTGCAACAGAAAAGTTCAGAGAACATGTTTGAATCCAGAATTTTCTTTTCATGAGTAGGGAAGGAAAGTAGGGACAGCATCATCTGTTACAAAAAATTCTATGAATTTGTAATGCACAACTGCCTGTCACCAAGATCTGACCCAAAAGCAATGTCCAATGAGAGCACTCATGTAAGCAGGCATGTCTTTTGGCAAGTTCAACAAAAATTTTAAAAAATCTGATTGTATTGACACCTGCAAAGACAAACCCTAGATGATAGTGCTCTTATTAAGGAAAGTTTCATAAATATATCTGTTTGCATCAAAGGGTACTAGCAACAAGAATATCGGGTCTTCTTTTTCAAAAAAGAATATTTGGTCTTCTTTTTATAATGCTCAGGATTTTCGTGGGTTGCAACCTTTTGTATGACAATGTAAGTGAATATAAGGCGAAATGTCATGTTCCAGAGAGAGACAATGACATCAGTCATATTTTGGCTGGCAAGAAGGATATCACATCTCTAAAGGAATGTAGGCAGAGAGCTAGAAAACAAAAGTCATGGCAAGCATCCCTGTGATGCCGCAGGAGGAACAGTGAAGAGACTTATTGCATATACCAGTCTTCAGAGAACTCAAATCTCTCCCTCTAGGGAATTTTATGAATGGGCACACAAGAGTGTCAATGGAATTTTCTTTCTGTACACTACCAAAGAAGAACATGAAGAAGTAGCTGTGCAGTTAAATAGCGAAGATTTGTAGTGCTGAAAAAAGGTAGTGGGTACAAGGAACGTCCATTGTGTCATTTCAGTCAGTGAAACCTTCAGTAAAATGTATATCAAATTCAAGTAAAATGCTTAGGGAAGCTGTTCACTAAAAGGCACCACAACATGAGCAGAGCCGCTGTAACAATGAACGCTTATGGCGGGTTGCCTTCGGCTCCTTGCAGCTCAGGCAACTATTTTTAATGATAATTATTGTTCCTTTTAAGATATCACGAAAATTTTAATAACATCTAGAACATCCGGAATACAATATTATTGTAGATTTTCATAGATTGCCTTTTGAGTAATTGCATTTTTAAAAGCTTTTTTTATTGTTGTATGCCAAGAATAGCATGGTAAAAATTGATATTTAACCTTGGAGTGCTCGCAATATATCTGCGAGATCCAACATGGCAATTTCATGTTCCTGAATATTGCAATGCATTAGTCGTCTGATATATCGTGTATTCCTTCATTCTACTTTTCTGAGATTGCTTGGCCTATTTTTATCCTTTCATTAAATTATTTCCTGTAAGCTTGTGTAACATGACCCTGGCGATATCTGTCAGATACCTTGCTTTCAATGGCGCCAATCTATTTTCAGCTCCTGGAGTAAGCGGTTCGTGTCACAGCATTATTTTCAGCCATGTCTGTTAGAAGTGCCAACCCAAAATGTAATCAATAATATTTTCAAAATGTAATCAATAATAATTTAATATTATTTAATAAGATATTTAATGATTTTTGCATGTTCTTTGTCAATCTTTGCCTTTTTCACCATAAGTATTTCTACAAGATTTCTGTATTGTAGGATTAATTAGCAATGGCATTGGGGAACATGTAAAAACTAAATAAAATACATATTTCAGTAAATAGAGCTTTAGATCAATCGCATTAAAAAAAGTGTCATCTATATCTGAGACATACATTGTGGACACTGGCACGAGTCTACCTATTGCGGGTTCCCCTAGGTTGCTGGGTTGCTGCTAGTGCAATAATTGTACTACATATCTTAGATTTCAATTTTTAGAATTTGTAGAAACAGTTACAGTACGGCAAAAAAGTTTAAAGAATACAGGGGTGTTCACAAGTCGTCTTCAGTTTTAAAAGTTGCCCAACAAGTTAGAAAATTTTAATACTGTACCTCAATGATGTAGACATCATGGACAACAATATCCCCAAATATTTTCATGTTTGAAGGTGTCATGTCGTAAAATCTACTTTTTTGAATGGAATGACCCACAAATAACATTGATTTCATATTACTGTGTGGAAAGCATACAACTGAAAATGCATCCCGTTTCTCTTGAATTAATTGTATCATTAATTAATTTTTCTCTGGATGAAGAGGAACATTACGACACTATTATTTTTGTAGTTTACTTTGGGTCACTACTTTCTACTCTGTTTTCTGGCATGCACAAAATGTGAAATGTAGGTACCTGATGTAAACAGCCAGAGGTGACCCTAACAAGCATTGGCAAACTTAAATTAAACAAGTAATTCATTACTATCAACTTACCTACTGCTGAATTTTTCATGTCATTTGAGAATGTAGCACTATGATTATCAGAATCATCTTTTCCTTCAGGAGCTTTTCTAACAGAGACTAAGTCAAGAACTGTATTTGCAGGATTTTCACCATTAACTCGTTCAACCTGATCACCGAATCCTCCAGTGTCTGTTCTTGTTAAAGTAGATGTTTTCCTATCACTGTCTTCTGGAGATGCAAACACCTAGAGTATAATTAAAATACCACAATTAAAGCATTACATATGGTGAAGTGCTTAAAATTTACAAAGTTTAATGTTTGAACATTCTAGGTCATTAAGAAGTTAATACTACTTGAACACACATTTGTGTATATTTCCAAAAATGAAAAGTTTACATCAAAATAACATTTATGTCATGTTATTCACTGCTTTAAGCTCTATCCTTCAAATAATTTAAAGAAAAAAATTCAAAAACTTTCAAAGAAAACCTTGCTCATAATAAAAGCCTTATTTTCACACCAAATCATGCAAAACCTATTCATTACGGGAAGAAGAGAGGAAAAAAAAGAAAAAGAAAAAATTGTACATGACTTTATTTAAAGATCTAATTCTGAAGAATAGATTTCATCAAAAGGAAAGATACCTAACTTGAGTATTTGTTTGGAGGAAGACACCAAAAATTGTGAAGTTTTGCTATTTTAAAAAATTTAGAGAAATTCAACGAAACAAGTACTATGAATGAGTTCAATGAAAGGTGTATCGAAAGCAAGTCCTGAATTAGCCTTCATCCCTTATCCAGTGCCCAAAATTTACAGAAAGTCTGCTGATATCTCTCCCAAACAATATATTTAATATATTTAATATTAATCCAGGTTCTTCTTTCCAATTCAAAAGAATCTAAACCCTGAATACTCATTGAATACTTGCCATTCATAGTCTGAATGCATAATGTCCTCGTAAAGAATATTTGACATTGCAAGCATCGAACATTTGAATAAGTAAAATCATAAATGTTCTACAAGATCTCAGCATATTTGTTCCACAAATCATCCACCATTCTCACATTTGCAACTTCTTTCACTAACCCAGATGTCCATAATTGAAGAAAATAATCAGACGAGAAATATGAAATAATTAAGTAAAACCTACATCACGAGCTTGAAGCCTCAATCTAGCTTCTTCAACAGTATCCTTCTTGGTAGTAAGTGATTTGTCTCTTATAGAAGTTCGCCTGACAGACTGTGTTCGTGTGTTTGACTGTGAACGCTTCACTTTCTTATTTCTAGCTTCCTGCATCTTCTTGGTTTCTTGCTCACTTCTCAGCTGTACAATTCGTTCTCGCAGTTCTGGATCTTCACATATATCTAAAACATCCATTAATTATGAGGAAGGACTAAAACAAAAAGAGAGAGAAAAATATTTTTTTATTTATAAGATTTATTACATACCAGCAGGAGTTTCGTCATGCTTTGTCTTAGCATTCAAATCTGCTCCATGTTGGCACAGTAATTCTAGGACTTCCAACTGCAAAATATGAGAAATAAAAAACATTACATTACATTTGTAGTTTAAAATACAGAATGCAAATGTTACTATCAAGTATAGTTACATGTCCCCAACAAGCTGCAGCATGAACAGGTGTCCAATCATCCACATCCTTAGCATCTGTTGACACATGATGATCTAATAAAAATTCAACTACTCTTAGATATCCATTTGCTGCTGCAATATGTAGCTGAAACAAAATACAAACAAATACAAACAAATGACTTCCAAATTAAATACTGAGGTTCCATTGAAAAAGGAAAGAATTATTACTGGAGTAGCTCCTTGGTGGTCTGCAGCTTCAATATCAGCATCCAGAGCCACAGCTTGCTTAAGATCATACAACATTTGAGTCTCGGTTGAAGCCCGTGTTTCATCAATAAGTTCTTGCGTCACACCTCGACGTGCCATTTCCCCTTCAATATAATCCAAGGCAATTTCATCCTCACATATATCATAAGGCATATTTCCATCTGCATTGACTGCCAACAAATTGGCTCCCCTAGAAAGAAAATTTATTAGCAAATTTGATATCAACTATCATGGGAAGGAAAGTGCAGAAGATGCACTAGAATAATTTACACATTTGTGCAGTATTCTCTCAACATTCACCCTATATTTCTTCTGCTTCATCCCTTCCATTTTCATTCCTCTTACGATCACATCTTTCCCTCCTCCTCACTCCAGTCTCCCCTTCCCTCTGCCATCTCGCATCCCCCACCTCTCACGTCTCTAATCTTCCTCTCTCACACACACAAACACATCTCTCTTCTCTTTCTTTCTCTCTCCACTCCATCTCCAAAGCTACATTAAACATGAAATGGAACTACAATAGCACACACTTTCTCACATTGTCAATGGTTATATAATATTATAATATTTCAACACCTGCCCTCACTAAAGACCACTTGAAAAGGTCCAAACAAATTCAAGCAAACTGCCTGCGATGCATATCTGCCATTATTTCAATACTCAAGAACAGTAGCTCTTTCTTACTACTACACAAGAAACAAGCAAAGAATAGATCTCAATTGTTATAATATTTGCAGCACATTATACAGATAGACAAGCAAGAATAATTTCACATGTATATTCAAAACCCCGAATTGAAGTCCATCCAATATATCGCCTTATGATTAAATATGAAATGACGATACATTGCATAATGTCCATGTTCTGCATAGCTGTATATGAATTGATATTCGTTAAAAAGGTCATCAGTGAGGAAACCAAATTATTTGGGAAATTGAAAAAAACAGTTTAATATTGAAACTAAGTAATTGAGCATTTCTACTTTTGGTATTTTTCTATTCATTTGTAATGATCATGACAATAAAAGAGAGAGTTACTAAATTAGACCTTTTGTTCCTTTTGATTTTAAATGCTCTTTGCTGATGTCATTTTAACAAATACTGGAATAAACCTTTGTACTTTTAATTCATAGTTCATTTTAATGATTTGTGTTTCGCCAGGGAATAGAAAAAAATATTTTTGCATATCTATATGCATTCATAACATTTTCCACATAATATTATCAAATTAATGTTAGCATATCAACAATTTAGTCTCTTCTCAATTGATTGCCTCTCCTCTCTTATTCACTTTCTCAATGTCCAACTTCTATGACACTTTGATCGGAACCTTTCCAGAGGGATAAGCTGGAATGCCTGTGTTTACAAGATCATGACTGACCAAAAATGAACGAATGATAGATGATCTCTCTTATACAATTGTACCCTTGTATGTATCCTCTACTCTCTGAATTGTATTCCAAGCAAACTGCTGACAGAAAATATGACTTTCTCACTTTTTGGTTAGTGTTTTGCCTTCTCTGTGATAACCATCTTCTTGTCCAAAGAGTCCACCACTTCGTGAATTCAATAATATCAAATCCTATGACTTACTTTGCCTTAAAAATTTCCCAGGTTTTGTGCTTTTAATAACATGTATCGTTATTTCGCGGAAGAAAATATAATACCTGTCATGCCTTACTACGCTCTGTTTCATAATTCCAACGTCATTCCCCTATTTTGTTAAAGTAGTGTAGCAGAAAACATTAGTTTTCAAAACATTTCATAAAATTGTGACTGGTGTTTTAACAAATATTGATTCATATATATTCTTCCTGACTCATTTTTTTATAATATATTTTTATTTTCAATCTGTTAAGCATCATTAATTTCAAGCAGAACTTACACAAAAACTTCAATTTTTTGTTCAAGATGTGATTTTTGTACTTGAAAATGTACAAGATTTTTTTTGTTTGAATTTGAAGTTTAAAATTGTACAAGATCTTTTGTAAATGAGCTGATTCTTTGGAACAAAATTTGTTTAATGCAAAAATTTGTATCATAAATTTTGTAGTATTCAAATGCTAATTTTTTGCAATTTCCAAAAATATGGAGAGTTCAATTAAAATGAGACCTGAACCATCCATACTTTTAATAGTTTCTTGTACAATTCATAAAAAATAATGGAAACAGTTTTTTAATAATAATAATAATAATAATAATAATAATAATAATAATTATTATTATTATTATTATTATTATTATTATTATTATAAATTTTGTAAATTTCAAGCACAAATTACACAGAAACTACTTGTTCCTCCAAAAATTGTACTTGATCTTTTAAAGATTATTTTCTTTGAACAGACTTTTTTGAAACCAAAAATTTCTACCTTCAATTCCATAATTTTTACATTTTTAAATCACGTAATTTTCGAAACTTCAGTTCACTAGAAACTAAAATAGCACCCATCAAAAAATTGGGGCCGTTATTGAGAAAAAAGGTTTTAAAAAGTTTAATTAAAAAAAAATGAATTACAATATTTTAGTTGTAGGAAGATGCCGGAAAAAAAATTGAAATTTGAAATTTTTTGAAAACAGAGATTTTAAATGAAAATAAGACCTGCACCATTCTCTTGGATGGAAAATTACAACTACCCCTCATGAGCTGCGATGTTAAAAAAATGGGAACAGATTGTGTAGGAACATTATGTTTTAACAGAAAAAAGTTCTTAAAATATTGTGAGAAAAGAAATTGAAGGTGAGTACAAAGCCCAACACTCAGGCCCGGTTTCAATGTTGAAATGGAAGGATAAAATGGCTGTTTCTATAATAAGTACCTACCACAAGGATGAATTCAAAACAGTCATTACAAAAAGAAAAGAAAATTAAAAAAACCTACATGCGTTCTTGACTACAATAAATCCATGGGAGGGGTAGACATGAAAGATCAGTACTTGTAAATATATCTTATTGACAGGGAGAAAGCAAGAAAAGGAAAAAGAAAACATTTAGAAGGTTATTAAATATCACTGTGTTGAATATATTTATTATTTGCAAAAATAATCATACTAGGACAAGAATTGAAATCTTAGAAATTTCATATTGATCTGATCGAACAATTGTTGCCAGCTCATTCACATGACAAAAGAGCAGTTTGTGAACATTGTTTTGTGAGCGATTTACATTGCTTGTCAAGAAGACACTTTCTTGAAAGAATTCCACCCCAAGGTGACAAAATTAAACAACAGAAACAATGTGTGGTATGTCACAAGAGTGGGAAATGTCAAGGGCCTGTATTCTGATGCCCAGAATGAGAAGTGAACTTTTCCCTGACACTTGTTTTAAAAGTTTATATATGTAAATGAATGAAAGTGTTGTACAGTTATTTTAATTTTCCATTTCCTCAAAGTCATTATTATTTAATCATTATCATTGTTTATCTTATTATTGAAGATGTGAAGCAATGCATTCTCAGGAAAGAGCACGTTTTCAGAGCTGGGAAACGCAACAATGCCAGAACTAAGATGCCCCCGCAGTGCCACTAACCGCACCTTTCGGTTAAAGACGCCTTCAAATGCTACCACGTTCACCCTCGGCAGCGCATTGAAAGGTTAAGATCAGCATTGGTAAAGTGGGCAACAAGCATTGTCACAGGAAATATTTTCCAATATTTGGATTTTGTTTTCGAATGAATTTCAGTCAGCAAAATGGATTGATCAGTAAAGTGAGCAAGCAACTTAAAGACTGGTAATATCAAAGTGCACCAGAATAGAACAACAGTTACACCCATGCAGGTCATCAACAGACCACTCTAAGCTAATAGAGAGAGGTGGATTGCGGAGTACCAAATCATTAGAAGAATGTTTTTGTGATGTATGTACATTTCAGTGCCCCCAAAAAATAAACGACTTTTTTCTAATGCTTCAATAACTGGTTCCTAACGGTTTAATTGATTATGTTGTTAATAAAACTAATTAGTTGCTGAGCTTTGTAAGACATATATCATCGAATTTTCACTAATGTGCAAATACTTATAATCTTGTACCTTACCTTGGCGAGACCCATTTTGTTATTTTTGCAGATTTGGTCTTCTCCTTATCAAACCCATGGCTCTAAGACTTACAACTGTTCAGCATACGTTGTTTTACTTTTGCTGCTCATCAACTTGGTATACCATCACCTATTCATTATTACCATTGTTCACTGCACTCTTAAAGGGAATATTATGATCTTTTTTTTGTAGAAGTTGGTTTCTGTATAAATTTACAGTTAATCCAACATTGTATACTGAACTTCCTTGGAAGAAATTCATGCATGGAGTGTGTTCTACCTGAACTGTACTATTTAGTGTTCCATTTCTGAGAACAAACTCTTTATTATGCTTCATAATGGAAGATCTTGAAGAGCTAACAATGATGCAATAGATCTAAATTGCTCAATTTATATATTTAAATGTAATGTGAAAAACCCGATTTTGAATGATTTCTATTGATGTTTCTAATCTATCAATGTCCTTATTATAATTGGCCATTTGCCTGGATTGTATTGGTTGTAAAAAAACATTTAAAAATAAAATATAATAAAAACTTCCCACAAATAGACAAGTTCTGGCAATTTTGTTTTACAATATTCATGAAATGAATGTTAATGAATGTGCAAATCTCATAATTCGGCAGTGCATCATCTGTCCGAAAATTACATACAGTGCAAATACATACTAAATCTTTTCCTAATTGCATTAAGAAACTTGTAAACTTATTTCAAGTTTGGAAAAACTTGCAAAATATGCACAAAAAAACAGTTAATGTATTTGAGCAGCGCTGACAAGAGTTTGTCAACAACTTAGATAATCTGTTTGACATTGCACATGCAGATGTGCAGGAATTAATGAAAATAAATGAAGATAGATTCTTTTTGTAGTGCCAGAAAGAGACAGGTTGACGTTGCCACTTAACTGAAGTGGATAAAAACTGGCTGATAAAGAGGAAAGGGCAAAACTTAGAATTATTGAGGAAGAGAAGCAGTGTGTTGAATATTTCTCCTTGACAACTTGTTTGACACCTTGTTTGAACCATTAACAAACAATTCATCTTCCCGTCCTAATGAAAATATGGATTTACAAGAAGATTTGCCAACGCTGATTGAGAACACATGACCTGGAGCAAGTAAAACATCCAAGTGAAAAGATTTCATTACTCTAAAATTAGTAGCAACGCTTGATAAGTGCCAGCTACGTATGAGAGATTCTGTACATATTCTTGAAACTACCATTGAGGCACTTGGACATAATGAATTTTCAGTAAATAAGTACTCAATTCAAATTATTTGTAGAAATAAACAGAAAGAGTGTGAGGAAGCCATTGAAGTTGTTTTCAAAATGAGGTACCATAGGTTGTGGATGGAAAATGTCTTATCTGATTTAGATGCTTGAAAATCAAAAGAAGAATGTCTTCTGATCATTATTTCATATGGAAATATAGAACAACTTACTGCTGACCCAAGGCTGGAAAGCTCTACAGGAAGCAAATATGTGCAAGCTGTTTGCATTACAATTGAAGAATGGAATCTTGAAGATAAAGTGCAAATTTTTCAGGGTGACCAGCTACCTGGCTTTTTAGAATTGAAGGTTTTACCCTGGTTTTTCAGGTCTGCAAATATACATTTTTCAGGTTCTGTTTCGCACATTACAACAATTTTTTTCTGTTTATTACATAACAATACTGTGTTACTAGCAGTTTTCTTCCGCAACCGAGTACTAGAATGTAGAATTTTGTACAAAAAACAGGAGTTAAAGAAAACTCTCATTTTTTTCTAGGAAGCCTATGTCACTAACTAATATTCAGTCTTACAATATTTTTTTCACCCGGAAAGTTGATCTCTGAGGCAATAGGCATACCAATGCAAGTTTTGAAGTATCATCTTCCTTCTTTGTTTTTGGAAAATGTCAATCTTACCATGACTAACAGTTTTTAACACTGAAGTAATAGGAATATTTTTTCAAATTGGACATTCTGCTGTCAATACTAGGCCTACTAATCAGTTCTCACAAATTTAGAAGATAACCATATATTTCATGACATACCTGAAAAAGGTGCTTAACAACACTAAGATTTTCATTTTTAATGTTACTTTTGAATTTTCAGAATGAATAAATCTTCACATTTGCTTGGATCATCCCAGATATCTTAATTTTTGGAATTTTTAAGATTGCATAATCGAGTTTGCAATCCAAAAGTTTCAAAAAGTAGTTCAGTAATATGATAACCACATATGTTCGCTCCTGTACAATAGAAACTATTTTGCATCGAAAACCTACAGATTTGATATTGGAGTCCTGTCATCAATATAAGCAACCCCCAAGAGAATAAGAGTTCAAGAAAGCATGTGCAGGTCTTAATAGAAACTTCAAACATTATTTACAATTATAAATTTCTTTTCATTGTGTATTACATTAAATGTTAGGTGCATTCAACTGTTCTTATTTCTCCCTTGCAATCATGATTCTCTCAGTCCACGTAAAGTTATCAAGCTCTGTATCAAAGGCAATAACTAATAAGTATATTCAGCACATACGTAAAGGAAGGCAAAGATAAATACTAAATATTCTGCAAGTACTATATTTATATTTTATACTGTTTAAATACTATGTATATTCTATGTAATTATGGATATTACATTAAAAAGTCAATTTTATTGAATCTACTAATTTTGTGAAATATATTTTCCCTCTCACTTCATGTTAATATTCACGTACCTGCTAATAAGATACCTCACTAAATGTAAGTGACCACATGTAGCTGCTGCATGAAGAGGGGTCCATTTCTCACTATCTTCAGCATTCACATCAGCACCATATTCAATTAGCAATTTCATCATTTCTTCATTATCATCAATACAACACTGAAACAACAAATAACATTCTTTAAAAGCTAATCAGATAAACTTATTCATGCACGTAATTTTGAAAATGCTATTATTCAATCACAAAATGCTCAAGATAACATTGCTATTGAGTTGTCATCAAAGAAACATTCTAGTTAAAACATATAACACAAGTTCAGCCTGAAATACTAGTGACACTCGTACATGCAGAGTAGCATCTTCATGCCAATGTTTATACTGATACTCCAGAACAAACAAGAAAACATTAAAACACCATCAAACAATTCATGCAAGTACCTCCTCGTTGTTTAATGTTAATTTAATGCCAGAACATCTGTGACTCATTTCAGATCTTCAAAGTAATGTATTTATTCATTGTTTACTGTTGTGGGAAAAATTCTACAAAACATTCCAATGATTTAACACACAAATTTGCATCCTATTCCTGTGCACACTCACCAGTATCCCTACTTGATACCACTCTGCAAGGGTCTATTCATCAGATGAAAACTGCATGTCCTGCATGCCTAGCAATATAATTAAAAATTTAACTACAAAGTACATAATTTAAAAAAAAACTACATGTGCTCTTACACTAAAAGTAGGCACAACTACTCATTTAAAAAAGCCCACATTTCAATACCTGATGTAAAGCTGTTAGTCCATCTTCATTTGTCGAGTCTGGGCTAACTCCCTTCATCAGCAATCTCCGAACTACAAATAAAAATTTAAAACAAATACTAGAAATACAAATATAACAATAACTATGATTTAAAAATAAATAAAATTCAACTACTAACTACGGTGCATTTGAAATTCCAAAATACATGGATAATAACACTAACTATTAGTAAGTATTAATTTATGTTAATAACCAATGACTTCCAATTCTAGTAATAATTAATTGAATATCCATTTTCTCCGTGATAAATTCGTTATACAGGCCAAAATCTTTAAATCATGTGTTTACAAACTTTTCTGGCAAATTACACATATTTTGTATCTGGGTACATGAATGGCAGAAACAGAAGTCACATATCTCAGTCAAATGGGGTCTACAGGGAAAATTTCACTGTAGTTTTGAAAATTTGTTCCAAGATTTTTTGGATCAGTGAACACAAATATTTAAAGAAACACATTTTTCAAGAGGAAAATAAAATAAAAGAATGAAAGAACTAGTGGTGATACAGAATGGCACAGCCTTTCCGTATTAGTTTTTTATTTCCTTTGGTCTCGACTAGCTTTTTGGACTTGCCACAAACTCTTGCCAACTGCCATCCATCGTCGCCCAAAGTACATTTTTTTAATGTATTGATTTCCCAATAGCAGAACAGAAATATTTTATAGAATATTAAAGAACAGTAAAACTTCAGTCAGAAAGTTATGCAATGCTATGGGAAATCGATTTCGAGATTTCAACGAAAATACATGTAGCCTTGATAATCATATATTACCAGCAATTTGTAAACACTATTGTATTTGTGCATTAATGTGCTTCAAATGACTTTATATGAAGTTTTTCGAGAACTCAAAAATGTTCTATGTAAAAGAGCTTCAAATTTCAAATTTACAATGGTTTTTAAGTGTCATTTTCTTAAAACTGCTCCAAATTTTTCAAAGAAAATTGCCATTTAGAACGAGGTTTCACTGTTTTTAATATTCCTAAAATAATATATCGATTCTATTGGGAAAACGAAATATTAAGAAAATTTCAAAAAAATGTACTTTGGGTGGCAATAGATGGCAGCTGGCAAGAGTATGTGGCAAGTTCCTATTACTTGCTGAGACCACAGGAAATAGAAACCTAATACGGGAAAGTCTGTGCCATTCTGCAGCACCACTAGTTTTTAAATTATTAGGTTATATGATAGCAGAATATATTTGATTTTGCTATTACATTACTGCAACTCTTGGTCATAAGATTTTGAAATGGTTCTGTTCAGAGTATTCAGGTGCTCATGGCAAACATAGAAATTGCACTCCAGTAAGGATACTTCAAATTTGGGTTTCTGTTTGTTTCATTTGTTTTAGCAGGAATACTTTAAATACAGCCCTTGAGAGTGGCGCCCGTCACTCGTGCCATATTAGCCACAACACAGATATGGTCTTCTGGTTCTATTATTCTGAGTACATTTTATATGAAGCTCCTGGCTCTGGCTCCACATTCATATACAAAGAAGTGTGATCATAAATTAACTAACTGTCCTTTTTTCATGGAATTTGAACTTGCAAAAATTGCATAAGTTCATCTATATTTCAAACTCCTCCATCAGCTTTAGTAGTGATGCTGGAGATAATTTTCTGAATGAAATACATTATTCGCTATCGGAACTTTCAATCATATCATGTTCACAATTTTCAAAATATGAAAAAGTGGTGCGCAATTTTAAATTAATTTGTTATACTGTCAATTTTCCCAAAATATCTACGGATATGAAAAAAAATATTTCCTTCAAACTTCGTATATGAACTGAGCACATGCAGTGAAGTAAGTGACAGACTTGTTATTAAACCTTTTCAATTTACAAAAATTACATCTATGTTATGAACTTTTTTCACACCTACCATGTACCCTTGATATTTTACATTACAGATGTTTTACATAATTTAATGCATTTGTCAGCACGAAAATATTAAATGATTTTTTATGAATTATCACAAAACCTATAAAGTTTTCAAGTGTGTCTGAGCTTCAAAAGGTACATTTTCAAACAACACACAAATCAGCATAACTGCTCAATAGTTCTTTCTTGGAAATTTTCATTCCAAATCAGGGTTTTACTCTTCTACAATCTTCTGATGACTGCAGTTTGATAGAATAGTGTTCTAGGAATCCAATGAAGAGACTGCAGTGTATTTTGATTCATCACAAAATAAATAAAATCAATATTACAGTAACAAAAAGTGAATCATCATCAATGAAGAAGAGAACAGAAGGGATTTCCTTCTGTTGACATTTGTTAATATATATATAGACAGGCAGTGTTTGTTAATGAGATTGTAGTTCACAAGAAGAAAGAAGAAGAAAAAAAAAAGAAAGAAAGATAAAAACTTCATCATGAGGTTTGCCTTAGATGTTATGAAACAGGCAGAGTATAACAGTTTGGTATCAAGAAGTTAACAAGACAAGGCTAAAATGTTCACTGAATACAAAATCGCAATATTATTACTACACTTTTAAGTTACCACTACAACTAAAACCAATGTCGTTTTAACACTTGAGCACAGAGGGCAGTCACTATGGGCTACTGGATTCTGGGGAATCCAATGACTACCCCAGGCATATGTTAAGTCACGAGATAATACTAATTATATTAATAGGTTTCATTGTACCATTAATTTGAATTAGACCTACTTTATATTTATTTCAATTATGATAAGATCAACATTTTCCAAAAAACTTATCAAGCAACCTCCATCAAAAACTTATGAAAATCTTGACACAAAACATTGAACATTCTTGGCCATTTAGACTGACTGAAGCAAGTTTTGCAAGAAGTTGTTGAAGTACTAGTAGTACATTACAATTAATATAATTTTCCATTAATGTAATAGAAGCTACAAGAAAATATGTACAGCGTTAAAATGCATGATCGTACCCTAGTTTTTGTAGTTCTGTAAAGTTTAAACTTTTAAAATGTCTATACTGCAGTAAAATAATATAAAAAACCATCAAAATTTTATATTATTGTAAAAGTGACATTGTCTTCTAAATATAAAATTAAAAGACAAAAGTAATGAACATTTTAATTCAAGGGTGGAGAAAATGAAGTAAATAATACAAAAATAAACTATAAATATCAAATGAACACATGACAAAACAGAAATTGTAACTCTATTGCATATTTCAGAATTAAAGACATATAAACAAAGGTGTCATTTTTTTTCTAATCTAAAGGTAAGTTTGAAATTTTCCTTACCTTCATCAATGTCATTTCGGCCTGCAGCTTCTAAAAGCATGACATTGTCACTAAAATAAATACCCCGTTTACTTGATTTTTCTCGGGAATGATCACGATTAGTTTGCTTAAGCCATTCCTTTTCTCTTAAACTCCAAACTTTCAATTGTTGTAAACGTCTTCGTCGCGCTAAATGAAGTCTTTCTTGGGTGCTCAAGTGTTCAACTTGAGACATTTCAGCCACCAATTCCGAATGCTCCATTTTTTTATATATTATTTCGTACGTTAAGAAAAATACATACTTCAGCCTAAGAGACACAACTACACCCTTATCTTATCTCGTCCCTAAGCTGGGCATATTTCACATTCTGACTCCTTATCAATCATTTCATCAAAGTGTCAATCTTGGATGTTCTTGGAGACAGTTTCGTTTGTTACTCGAGAGTTGGTTGCCACTTCTCATTAGCAAATATGACGAACACTCAGACATTTTTCTTGTTTTCTACTGCAAAATTTCACAGTGAAAGTAGCACTATTTTTCGATACAACTACATATACTTGTGCCATAAGGAACTAAACCACAAAACCGGGTCTCCTGTTTGAAACTTATTTCTGAGACATTAACACATCTTGTATACACGAAATAACACAATGCAGTGGAAGATGCACATTTCCAGTTCATTTGGATTTCACTATTAAAAGTTTTTTTTCATAAACACAAAAAAACAAGGGTGAAATATAATACTGGACGAGGATGTTATTCGGGTCATTCCAACGCATCTCGACAAATTGCGAACATGCGCTGGCATTGCGCTAACTGAACCAATGTCTTTCAGACTCAAGCATTTATTGGATTAAAATCCACCAACACTCCACACACTACAATTGTACAACAATTACATTTCAGAACACTTGTCACACACACATACAGTTTAAAGGCGCTCAGCTGTGAAAAGTTGAGAATTGTCACTTAGGTCTCGCATATTCTCGTGATAAAAATAATAGATTCGTTCCTATTTCTTCAAACGTAGTTCTTACTGGTTCTCACCAGAGAGTTCTCACACGCCCACACCCGCCGTGATTTATTCGGTTGTAATTGTTTCGTCATAGATTAACACCATCCATGGTTTGGTTTCGTAGTTTCGACGATTATGTTTCTTTACTATGGCTTATGATGTATTTTTGTACATCGGTCACTGTAGTTCTTAAGATAACACTGGTTCCGGAGCTCTGGCTGAAGACTGACCAGTATGACACAGTTTTTATTAGTTCTGAAAAACAATATAATAGTTAACTGATCGTTATTAATATCCAAATTAAATTATTTATTGATTTACCATTGCAGTCATGACAACAGTGTAATCTACTTATTTATTGTCAAAAACATTTGAACGAAGAGGAAGTATTTGAATTGTACCGGAGTTTGAAAAGCGGAGTATTTTCCACAGAAAAAACTCTATTTGCCGGAACCTGGTATCGAAAAAGTGGATAAATCTGGTTTTTTACATAGTAAATTACTTCCTCTAACACGTATAATCAAAATCCCTTTTTAGTGGGTCCTCGATACCAAAAAATTGATTGACGGCAAACCTGCCTTGTCCATCCGTCTTAAGTCAAACCTAGCGCCAAAACCGTGCAACCGATTTTCTCCAAAATTGATATTCCTCGGTTAGTTTTGAGGAACTCGAGGCCCTCTGAGTTTGAAACGGTTATTTTTATTTTAGAAAATACTTTAATGAGGCCCCTGGGACATCTTCAAAATTTTCTAAAAAATTACTCGTTTTTAGATTAAACTTTGTCCTCGGATAGCGTAAAGAACACTTAAGAGAAAGAACGGCGCAGGTCTCAATTTCTCGAAAATCTTCCATTTTAAAAAAATTGCAATAGTTCAAATTTTTTTCGGTGTCTTCCTGCAACTACAATATTGAAGATATGGGTATTCTTCTTCAAAAAATCTGTTCTTTAAAGACAAGTCCTGAAATACGTACAATTTTTCAAAAATATGACTAGTTTTCGCGTAATGTTATGTAAAATATGGGCGATTTTTATTTTTTGTTTAAATATTATTTTCTCAAAAAACGCGCAACATTTTTTCTTTTAAATTTTCTCTTCTTAAGTATCAAAGGACAGTAAAAAATAAATGCATCTCATTTCCGGCCAATTTTTAAATTTTTGAAAATTACAAAAAGCAAGCATTTGGAAACTGAAAAGTTGAAGGTTGAAAACAATCAAAGTGGGTCTTTGCTGGTGTGTCAGAGGTGGAAACCATCTACACCCGTTACTTTTCTTACCATGTTAGAATAAAGGTTTTCTTTTGTAGATATTGGAATAATGGCGAAGTGATACGTGTTTTCGTAAGAACTGCAGTATGTTAAAAAGTCCAACGCATTACGTAGCTTTGCGACTCAGAAAAACCTGCTAAATAAATATTAATTCTGATAACTGATATAGACCCGAATCATGGGATGAGTAAAGGAATTTGCATATTGAAGATTATGGATAATATACTGAAAATCACGAGGATTTACAACATTCTCAATTAAAACTACATCAAATAAAACTAATCAAGTCTGGGGTCCAAATTATTCTCCAAGACTCCTACCAGGTATCTACTTGTTATTTATTTGTTAACATTACTTATTGTTTCGGATTGAACTAATTCATTATTTTGTTGGATAGACCAACTAGGACCACGAGTGCATCCTGATGTCAAACACGAGGTTATGTGCACCGAAGAATAAGTCCGTGCATGACAATGAAGTTGCAGACAGAAGGGGTTTAAGCGATGAAAAGAGGGGTTCATGTGGTAATTTTGGCCATATTTTGGGAGACTGCAAAACAGGTGTAGTCTGTTTTAAATGTAAATGAAAGCGGCACATATCCAAGAACTGTGATGTCCAAGACTACTATGCTGACCCAAGGATGTACCCCACCAGTGGATGTGAATAAATTAATCTGCGATGAGTGGTACATAGATAGTGGTGCTACACATCATGTTACAAATTGCCGCGACTGGAATGTTTCTTATCAAGAATTCAGAACACCTAAAGGAATGGACAGCGCTAAAAGTGGGGTGTTTATTGCAGCATTTGTTAGTGGGCATATAAATGTCAGGATGGTGAAAAATAGATGTACAGACACTTTGAAGAAGTGTGGTATTGTCCAAATTGCTCCTGAAACCTGTTCTCTGTAAGGAAGGCAAGTAACAAAGGTATTGATCAGATCATTCGAAATAATGGCAGAGTGACTAGTTTTGAAGAATAGAGTACCAATCGTTCTTACTTTATCATAAAATGTGGCAATCTATACCGACTAGTGGTACAAGTGATCTCAGAAAAAAGGGCATATGTACTGAGTAATGCAACAGATAGTTTCTATGCATGGTTCGAAAGATTAGGTAATCAAAATAAAAGTCATGTACAAACTTTCCTTAAGGCTCATGGCATCCAAGATGAAGTTCACAGGGGATTTTCTTAAGTCCGTGTCTTAGGGAAACATCAAATATTGACCTTTGAGGGAAGGGTACAAAAGTCTACTTAATCCGGGAATTGCAACTGTGATTCTCAAGAGCCAGTGAAAATTTCACTGGCAAACTATAAAAACCTCAGTGTTAGTATTACTCTCGCAACTTTTTTTGAAATATGGATTGAAGAAATGCGGATATTGTGGGGTTATTAGTTACGAAATTGGCCACTAGGTTTTATGAAGTAATGCCAATCTCTGGATAATCAGTCACGCCTTTGTAACGTTCTCAATCATTTGCGTTCTAACTTTATCAGGAGTTCGAGGTATCTCCTGTAATAGATCTTTACCTGCTTCGGTCATTTCTTTAGATTTTTAAAGAAAATAACCGATAAAAGTTCTCGCCTTCGAAAGAAAGTTGTTTCTATTTCGCGCCAGTGAAGATGTGTTTGGAATATCATCAGTGCTCGCTGTGAGCTTTTGCCTTCATCTGTTCATTGTGCCAGAGAGAGGGAAGCAAGGTTATCGTTCAAGAAAAGTTGCGCGAGTAATATGTAAGTTAAGTTTGTTTTCATGCCACAAATGTAAGGTCATTGGGCAACAGAGGGTATGGAGAAGAATACATGCTGCTGGAAACAAAAGTCATTCTGATGCAAGTGTGGCATTTATGACGTGTATCTTGGGCGCCTCAGTCGATACCTCTATTGACGCCGACAAGTGATACTGGCGCCACAAATCAAGTCACCTCGAATAAACAGTATTTTATATCGCATGAGAAGTTTGCCGTAAGTTTTCGCTCGGGAAACGAGGTGTAAATACGCTGGCTCATGGACAAGGAAATGTGAACATTCAAGTACGTCTGAATAATGCTTGGTCGAATGCCGTACTGAAAAACGTTTTGTATGTTCCTGGCGCAAGTGCCCATTAATTTTCCGTGAAAGCAGCTGCGAAAAAAGGGTTTTTCTACGAGACTTGATGATCGAAGTGTCAGCATTGAATATCGCGTTACTGGAAAAATAATTATAGGATATGTTAGTATTTGTCTGTATATATTAAACATGCGCATTGTGAAGCCGACGCAACAAGTTCAAATCAATGAGATGATCGCAGACATAGCAAGTTTACCATTAAAGTTTTGGCCATCAACATAAACAACATGTGAAGTGCCCTGAAGCAGATAAACATCAACGTAGATGAGGATAAGGAAGAATTCTGCGATGGATGTGTACTGAGAAAAATGCATAGGTTGCCATTCAAGAAAATGAAGAATCGACCGATGGTAACTGGTGAACAAATCTACGCCGATGTAAACGGGCCCACGTCGACTGAATCTCTCGAAAAGGTGCGCTACAATGTGTGTTAAAGATTATTTTAACGACCATCGAATTTTCTCTTTGAAGCAGAAAAGTGAAGTTTGCAGCGAAGCCAAGACGAATGGACATGTTATCAAGGAACTAAGGTGTGGTCGAGGAAAAGAATTTGATAACAAGGTCTCTGAACTGCAAGCAAGTAGGGTCATAGAATCTTGCATTACTGAGCCGTATACTCCCCAGCAAAATGGTATTGCGGAGCGTGAAAATTGAATCATTGTCGAGTGCGCGTGTTCCATGTTGAATCCAAGAAAGTTGCCAAAAGAACTGTAGGCAGAAGCATGCAATACTCCCGCATACCTTCTGAACCGCACTGGAAAGTCTTGCATTGAAACTAAGTCTCCTTATGAATTGTGGCATGAACGACCAATAGAAAGTCTCAATCATTTGAAGATTTTCGGAACACAATGCTACGTGCACATCAACATGAATGTCCGCTCTAAGTTTGATGATAAAGCTGTTCGTGGACATCTGGTTGGAAACGTGATCGACAGGGATCGATTCAGGGTCTGGATACCAGCTCAAAGGAAGATAGTCCTGAGCACGATGTGAGATTCAAGCCTGAAGATGTCCGCAATATACGCATCAATACCGACAAGCTTGAAGATTCGTGTGAAAAACTGGCACCATCCGATATACAAAAGCCAGAAGAAATCAACGGCGATGAAATAGAAGAAGAATGGGGTGAAGCTGAAGAAGTTGCACCAGTGTCCAGCTCCGAAGGAAGTGATGTTCCAGAAGATGCCACTGGAGAGACAACTAGAAAAAGCAAACGTGAATCGAAGAAACCATTCCGGATGATCAGCGGAGATTTTGTCTACATGGCCGGATCGTCTATTACTGAAAACAAGAATCCAAATTCCTACACTGAAGTGCTGCAGTCTCCTGTTAGACAAGAGTGGTTGAAAGCAATTAAAGAAGAAATAGATTCTTCAGAGAAATAAGATTCCTGAGTGTTGGTTGAACGTTCAAAAGATGTACAAATATTGTAGAATTGCTGGGTATTCTACCAGAAACTATTGAACAGTGAAAACATCAAGGCTCGATTTGTTGCAATAGGTTTCGTACAAAGACAGAGAATTGATTATGAAAGAGACATTCAGCCCAGTTGCACGATACGAAACCATATCTTGTTGGCGGTGGCTGCTGTATTTGAAATTAA